GATGCTGCCAGAGGAACTGCACTATGGAATTCATATACCAGTGGTGTCAAGATATGCTGGATGCTTGTCACAACTCTTTTTTTAAAATACTAAAGTTTAATTATGTGTACATGTGTACATGTGTGTGGCCGTGTGCATGAAAGTGGTGGTGCCCACAGAGGCAGACGAGGGAATCAATTTTCCTGGAGCTGGGGTTACAGGCAGACATAGGTTACTGCCTGATGTAGGTGCCTGGAAATAAACCCAGGGTCATCCGGGTTCTTCACGGCTGAGCCATCTCTCCACCCCCCACTTTCTTTTTCTTTCTTTTTGTGAGACACTGTCTCACTATGTTGTAGGGTTTGGCTGACCTGGCTGGCCTGGCTGGCCTGGAATTTGCTATGTAGACCAGGCTGGCCTGGTATTCACAGAGCTCTGGCTGTTTCTGCTTCCCACATGCTGAGAGAAAAGGCATGTGCTCACACATCAGCCAGCTCTCAACTTTAACTGCTCTGGAATTACGGGGGGGGGGGGGCATGTTATCATGTGACAGTGTTAGGAGGTCTGAGCTGGGAAACAAATTGTTACATTGTTGTTGTTATTTTATGATTATGAGTGTTTTTGTCTGCATGTGTCCGTGTCTGGATTGAAGTCAGGCCTTCCGCTTCAGCTGCCATCATCAGGAACAACCTCCAGGAATAACCCATGGATAGAAATAAACAGAAAGCACTCAACACGGTGGGACTCTCATTTCTGATATGATTGTCAACATTATTTTACAGATGTGACACTTATCCTTAGCCAGAGAACTCTCGGAAGCCAGCAGATTTTGGAGATTCCGGAATCTGTGTGTTGTAAAGTTGATGTTTGCTATTCTTGTGGTATTATGAAGGAGATCCATAATAGTGCAATGGACATCCAGGTGGTTAACTACAAAGGAAACTGTTAAAATAAAGGATGATGGGGGGCCGGGCGTTGGTGGCGCACACCTTTAATCCTAGCACTTGGGAGGCAGAGGCAGGCGGATCTCTGTGAGTTCGAGGCCAGCCTGGTCTACAAGAGCTAGTTCCAGGACAGCCTCCAAAGCCACAGAGAAACCCTGTCTTGAAAAACCAAAAAAAAAAAAAAAAAAAAAAAAAAAAAGGATGATGGGGGGAGGGAGGGAGGGAGGGCAGGTTTAACAATTACTTCTGGAAAGAACACTGGACATCAGGGACTGTCTGGCAGCAAACTAATAGAGCTTTCTGGATATTCAAAGAAATTATAATAAAAACAGAAAAGGCCTCAATTGTTCAAGCCCCAATTAACTCCAACATCCACTTAATTAATTTCATCCAACACCGTGTACACACACTATACCACACATACTTGACCCCCAAAGACCCAGGAGGCAGGTCTGAGATACAACAGTGTCAAGGTTTGGCCACGCCTTCCCGATTCTACCTTCAGAGATTGCAATTACCTGCAGTTAGTTACAGTCTGAAAATGTTACATGGAAAATTCCAGAAACAAACAATCCCTAAGTTTTAAGCTGAGTACTGTTTTGAGTATTATGATAAATTCCCCAGACATCCTTTTCAGTGCTGCTTGGGAAATGAATCATTGCTTTACTCAGTGAATCGGCAATGTGCATGCTTCCCTTCAGCGGGTCACTTACTAGCTGTCCTGGCTATCAGCTATACTACTGCCGTCCCTGCATTCAAGTAATCTTTATTTTGCTTAATAATGCCCCAGTGTGCAAAGGGCAGTGGTACTGGCAAATCTGATATGCCAAAGAGGGCTTGGTTAGGTGAAAAGGTGAGAGTTCTCAGTAGGAGCAAAAATTAATCGTGTGGAGATTGCTAAACTCTATGGTAAATGAGAAACTCTGGAGCGAGACTGTTGTGACTATTACATTAGTGTGTGAATGCGCACTTACCCGTGCATGCACACATGGAGTCTTCCTGCATCATCTCCACCTTACTTTCACAGTACAGAAGCTTGCTCTTTCAGCTGGACTGGCTGGCCAGCAAGCCCTCAGGACCTACCTGTCATAGACTACCTGTTTATATGGGTGCTAGGAATCCTAACCTCCTTGTACATTAAACTCTTTACACGCTGAGTCATCTGCCCAACCCCTCAACCTGTATTTTTAAAATTACTTTTGGAAGATTATTTTTGTTTTGTGCATGTGTGTTTGCTGGTTCGAGTTTATGTGTACTGCTCTGTGTGGGAGCTCCAGGAGGCCAGAAAACGGTATTAGATCCCCTGGAACTGGAGTTAAGGCAATTGTGAGTAACCATATGAATGCTGGGAATCGAACCCAGGTTCTCCTCAAAAGAAGCAAGTGTTGTTAACCACTGAACCAACTCTCAAGCCCCTCGAGAGGCTTTTTGTTTTGTTTTGTTTAACATCCTGGATTTTGAGCTGATGTAAACGTGTCACATAAAATCACAGAATGCCATTGCTTCGGGCCAAGCTCCCACTCCTGCTCCTAAAGACGAGACTATAATTCAAAGACAGAATGACTCACAGTAACATATATCATCAAGCTATTTATTTCAGCTCAGAGAAATCAAGATTAAAGAGATTTTCAATTAGCATATTGGTGAAGCCCCTTGAACGATTTATACTTTCACAAATAAAAATAAACAAAAACCCCAAAACCTCAAAAACAAAACAAAACAAAAAATGAAACCTAAAGTATCCTAGGACTTTTCCAATTACATTTTTCATCTTGTCTCACAAAGAAAATAACTTTGAAATAAGTCAAACCACTTTTCCTTTCACTTTTGAGACAGGACCTCAGTCTGTGGCACAGACTGATCTAGAATTCACTATTCTAGTCTTGATGGTCTCAACCTTACATGAGTCCCATTGTCTCGGCTGCCTGCGTGTTGGAATTACAGACATTAGCCACTATGCCGGGCTCACTTTTCTTTGTCCCGCTCCTTGAAACATTTACTCTCTAAATAAAAATGCCTGATGAAAAAATAAAAAGTATATCCAACTGAAGATCTTTAAATTGTTGTAGATTTATTTTTTTGGCAACATTGAGTGGGAAGATGAACTCTCTTCCTTGGGGAAGGAAGTTATTCTACTGCAAAAAGGATACTCAGATGGACAGGTTGCAGTAGAGACTGCCAGTCCCCTCCACCTCTCATCCTCTGGGTCCATCTCTCTCTTCCTTTCTTCATTTTTTTCCTCCCCCTCACTCTTGGACTGGGAATTTAGCCTAGGGCCTCATACATGGTAGACAAGTGCTCTACCACTAGGGTATAAGTTGTAGTCCTAGCTTTCTTTTTACTTCCTATTTTCAGACAGGTTCCCACCAAGTTCTCCAGGCAGGCCTTAAGAGGCCTGTGGCAACAGACCTGACCCACGCTTTGGGTGCATAAGTCTCCCTCTCCCCAAAAAAAGCCTTATTGGAAAGTAAGTTTCCAGTCTCAGTGATGCTAGGCATTCTTGCCAAAAGAACATGATTGAATTGGTGTGGATAACTTCTAGTTTGTTTCCCTTGTTCTGTACCATTCCCAATGGATAGGATATGACATTTATAACATGCCAAGGAGGTAAAATGCTTTGAGTATTTGTTGTAGGTAAGTAAGCCTGTAAGAAATTGCAATCCTGTCTCAGTGAGCTCAGGGCTAGCCTGGTCTACAGAGAGAGTTCCTGGACAGCCAGGGGAACACAGAAACCCTGTCTCAAAAAAAGTCAAAAGAAAAAAAAAGGAAGGAAGGAAGGAAAGGAGAAGGAAGAAAGGAAAGAAAAAAAGAAGAGAGAAAGAAAGAAAACACTAGAATTCTCCTGTAAAGTGCAATTTGGCAATATCTGCCAAAAATTGTGTGTACCTTGATTCACATTGGGGAGTGCATTTTACTTGCATATATCTTAAATTATGCATATATAAGGTTATTCATTGCACCATTGGTTGCTCTCTTAAAAGCTACTTATATGTCCTATAAGGACTAAATATAATGTACCATCACTACCTTTAAGAATAATGGTAGCAAATGACTGGACTTAAATAGCTAGATCTCCTGAAAAGTGAAAACACCAAAGACAAAACAACAAGGTGTGTTATGTACTGTGAAAAGAAGAGAATGCAAAGTCTTACACCTATTTGATTGCAGTTTTGGAAAGTTTTGTAAGAATATATGAATAATGAATGCAATCTCATGTAAAAATAAGATGAGCATATAACCTGCCATTCAAATAACGGTTTCTAAAGCGAAGGCAGTATCTCTAATAATTCAGGACAATAGATGAAAAATAACATTGTTCTGACCAATACTTTTAAAAGTTATAGGATGGCCGGGCAGTGGTGGCGCACGCCTTTAATCCCAGCACTCGGGAGGCAGAGGCAGGAGGATCTCTGTGAGTTCGAGGCCGGGCTGGACCTCCGGCACTCCACTTCTGGAGTGCTGGTATTGCAGCCTAGCCCCCCTCCATTTTTTTGGGGGGGACGCGCCTAAAGTAGCCAACTATTATTATTATAAAGCATGCAGTTGAGAGCTTCTCACATGTGGGGAAGTGCAGACATCAGCACCCCTAAATGGTGGAGCCTTATCCTGAGGGAATTATTTTCTTGTTCGCGGTGTATTCCCTCTAGGTAAATTATGAATGTGTGTGTGTGTTTGTGTGTTGGTGGGGTTTTTCTTTGTTTTGCTTTGCTTTCAATGTTGGACTATAGTGAATTGGAAATAAAAACTAAAAAGAGGTCATTCTTTACCATAGGTAGTTTAGAGATGTCTTACGAAATAAGGGGAGAACGATGAGCCACAGACCCGGAACTTAGTGAAAACGCTGTAGTTTTAACACGCCGGGCCCTTCCTGAGGTGGCACAAGGTACACGCCTTCAAGGGCTTCAGCCAATCCCAGGTCGGAGCGTGAGAGCCAGAGTCTCTCGAGAGGCCTGGGCGGGTCTCACACGGGAGGAGAGGAGATTGATGTCACTCAACCCCGAGGGCGGAGCTAATTCCGGCTCTCACACCCGACGCTCTAGCCCGTAAAGGCGCGACTCTATGGCACCTTGGGTTCCCTCTGCCTGCACCCCGGAGGACTGCACTCGTTTCCTTTTCGGCTGCGAGCGGTCCCGCAGCCGTGGCTGAGCTGGAAGAAAGATGGCGGCTGCCGTGCGACAGGATTTGGCCCAGCTCATGAATCTGAGTGGCTCTCATAAAGATCTGGCGGGCAAGTGAGTATTTCCTAGGAGTCCCGAGGTGGGAGGGGAGGCGCAGATTTACCTAGAGGCTCTCGGGTGCGGGGCCGAGGTGGTAGGCCCGAGGGCTCAGGGGGGCGGGCCTGCTTGAGGCTGTGGCGGTAAACGCTGGGAGCCGCAGAAGACTCTCAGGGACCGTGTGCCGGGGTCCGGACCGCCCCGAGACCCGGGCTGCCCGCCAGCGTCTGAAGTCCTTGGTAACGTCCTCCACGGGTTCCTTTGGGGAAGCGTGGCTCCAAAGATGACGGCTCCCTCGGCGGTGGCCGCCTGCGTTAGCGGCTCTGGAGAGCCCGGCACACCGAGTTTGACTTGTGTTTGCTGCCGCCCCCGCCCTCGCCTTGGTGGACATACATTTATATTCTGGGCTTTGATGCAGAGTTTTGTTTGTTTTTTAAGAGAAGGCTTTCCAGGATGACAGGGGCCGAGGCGGTATGGCCGCTGTCTTGTCGCCCAGAACTTCTCAAGTTAACAGCGTGTGTGAGTCCTTCTGTTCTGGGTACTTTCTCTCCCTCAGTCTGTCACCAGCGCTGTAGAAGAGAACACAGGCAGAACGCCCTCGACCTAGGATGTCTAGAACACTGATGCTTCCATAGGCTGCTTAGGAATTTTGTAGAAACCTTAGAATGCTTAGGTCCACTACAAGTTACAGTTTGAGACGTGTCAGTTCCCCCCAAGTCGGTTTACATACATACATATATACATATATATATGTATATAAACCAACTTTCATTTTAATGTGAAAATATTCTGCAGGATTCTTTTTTTAAATTTATTTTATGTGCACCTGTGTGAAGGTGTTAGATCCCCTGGAACTGGAGTTACAGACAGTTGTGAACTGCCATGTGGGTGCTGGGAATCGAACCAAGGTCATCTGGAAGAGCACCAGTGCTCTTAACCGCTGAGCTGTCTCTCCAGCCCCGCTGCTGGACAGTTTTGGTCATTCTCTTTTTGTAGATTTCACAGCTTTGCTATTTGCTGAAAGTCTTTGGTTTGTTTTCTGAGACAGGGTTTCTCTGTGTAGCCCTGGCTGTCCTGGAACTCACTCTGTAGACCAGGCTGGCTTCAAACTCAGAGATCCACCTGCCTCTGTTTCCCGAGTCCTGGGATTAAGTGTGCACCCCCTGGCCCAGCTCTTTCTGCTGAAAGTAGTCCTCGGATTAATGTTTACATGCTGGCAGCTGAGAGCACGTTGATCTAATTGTGGAACACTCTTGCTCAAGCCTGCACGTTGAAGTGGTGTAGATGTTGTCCGGCAGCTGTGCTGCTTTTTCACCGGTAAATTTAGTTTAACTGCTTTATGCTTCATTTTTCTGCTTGAAAAAAAAAACGGTAGTATAATCGTGAGACTTAGTCTTATCTGATTTCAAAATGAATGTGTGTCTATATACTTATCACACTTAAATACCTGAGTTCAGTTGCTGGTATATAGAAAACTCGATAGAATTGTTATTGTTAAGCAGTCGGTAAATACATACCAACTTTTTCCAGGATTTGGAAGTAGTTGACCGAGACTTCATTGCTTAGTCTTTTTTGCATGTATTAATACTTTTTGTCCATTTGGATGGAAGTAAAACTGGCGTATGTATTCTCTTGTATTTCAGAAAATGTAGGTTGTCAGATAGCTCTTTGAACTGGAAAGCATTTTGGAACTTCGGCTTACTCCCCTTACCTCTTTAGATCTGAGTTGGAGATGAACAGTAGTATGTCTCCAATGGCTTGTTTCTTTGTCTGTTGCTGCTTAATAAATGCACAGTTTAGTGGTGTAAGCATACCTACCCCCTCAAGATTCTGTGTGTCACCCGGACTGTCTTCCTGGTCTTGCCTGGTTCAATTATGCAGATTAATTTGCCTGGCAGTTCAGTTACGGCTGGGCTCATGTCGGTGTCTGGGTGTTGGCTGGGTCTTTTATTCTAGTTTCATAGTTTAGCTTTGGCTTTCTTCTGGGCTTCTCCATTACAGTGTTCTACCTGGGTGAGAATGAAAGCTGGAAGGCTTAAGGTTAGCCTGAGCAGTCTCCCATCGACTCTGTAACACCAGTGAAAGCAAGTGATTCAGGGGGAAAGGACATGGAATGTACCACTAACTCTTTAGTAGCAAAGTGATGTTGCAAAGGAGTCCTTGGAAACTGTTCCTGTGGCAGTTTACCATGTGAGTTTATTATTCAGAGCAAATGAAATGATTGGCTTGATAAATGGTAGCCCATGCAGTACTAGCTAGCTCCTCCCTCAATATCGCTTTTTTTCTTGTCTTAGGATTTAGTTGATTATTTTTATGTATGTGTAAGTGAATGTGGGTACCATCTGTATGCAGGTGCCCATGGGTGCCAAAAGCAGAAGTCACCCTGAACTGGGTGCTGGGAATTGGATTCAGGTCTCTGGAAGAGCAGCATCCTTGACCACTGAACCATCTCTCCAGCCCTCCCTTGGTGCTGCTTTCTGGCCTTGCCTCTGGGTGTTTGCCTAGTACTATCTGGGTAAGATTGTTAGAATGTTTACCCCTGTAACAAAACAGTTCTGCCAGCCACATAACTTTATGAAGCACTATGCCATCTGTTCATTTAAGGTTTTTATATTGGGAACTGAGAAACAAAAGATTTCTAATGCTGAAGTCCTCTGTTCCCATACAGTGTATTGTTCAAGAAATGTTGGTTAAATCAGTAAATAGCCAGAGGAGGGTGTAACTTCTATTTGAACCCATGTTTGTCTGAAAAGATCACTTTTAACCAACCAGACTATATTGCTTTTCTTGTTAAAGACTCAATTAGAAGTGCTTTCTGAACTGGGCATGGTGGTGCACGCCTTTAATCCCAGCACTCGGGTGGAGAGGCAGGCGGATCTCTATGAGTTCGAGGCCAGCCTGGTCTACAGAGCGAGTTCCAGGACAGCCTCCAAAACAATACAGAGAAACCCTGTCTCGAAAAACCAAAAAAAAAAAAAGTACTTTCTAAGCTGGGTGTTGATGGCGTACACCTTTAATCACAGCAGAGGCAACTGGATCTCTGTGAGTTCAAGACCAGCCTGGTCTATAAGAGCTAGTTCCAGGACAGCCTCCAAAGCCACAGAGAAACCCTGCCTCAAACATATCCTACCCCCACAAAAAAAAGAAGTGCTTTCTGATAATTGGATTAACAGCTATCAAATTTTAGTATAAGAAATCAGCCATATAAAAGACATTTTTGTTTTTACAGACATAGGCTGCTTTTTCTTTTCATATAATGTGCATATTTATTACCTAGTACAAAGCTTTGGAAGAGGAGACTAGAGCATGACTCAGCTGTTAAGAGCAAAGGACCTGGGTTCAGTTCCCAGCATCACAGGGTGACTCACAACTGTTTATAACTCCAGTTCCAGGGTACACTTTTCTGACTTCTAAGGGCACCAGATACACATGTGGTGCACAGACATACATGCAGGCAAAACACGTACACAAAAGAAAAGCTTAGAAGCCAGGAGCAGTGGAGCACGCCTTCGATTTCAGCACTTGGGGGTTGGAGCAGGCCAATCTCTGAGTTCTGGGACAGCCAGGGCTACGTAAAAAGATCCTATCTCAAAACCCCAAAGTCAAGAATCTTTATAAGACAGGGACTGGAGAGGGAATATGTGGAGGTAACTGTTGTGATAGCCTGTCTTGACTCCATTGGCTAACCTGCTTGCTCTACAACATTCGACTAAGATGTGGCTTCCGGGAAGCTTGCTCACATTCTCACCTGGTTAGACCTGGTTAATTGTCTGCCTGTGCCTGGAAATAGCTTACTTTTATTTGGACATGGATTAGATTGTTTGACTACTCATTTGTCCACTTCCCTGACCAGAAAATATACTTTTTACTTTTTCAAAGTAAACAGCTTTATTTAGAAAAAGTGAGAAAGAACTTCTTAGACTGGGAGGACTGCAAGCGGACGAATACTCACACACACAAAAAGAACTTTGAAGGCACCTAGTAGTCAAGGCAGTATATAGTCCATGTTTATGAACGCCTCACTCTAAATATAGTCACCTAGTGACTTAGTCATTTGCATATGCAGGCCAGGTGCACCCCATCTACAGTGAGCTGCAGGCCAGGTGCACCCCATCTACCTACAGTGAGCTGCAGGCCAGGGGCACCTACCCCATCTACCTACAGTGAGCTGCAGGCCAGGGGCACCTACCCCATCTACCTACAGTGAGCTGCAGGCCAGGGGCACCCCATCTACCTACAGTGAGCTGCAGGCCAGGTGCACCCCATCTGCCTACAGTGAGCTGCAGGCCAGGTGCACTGCTTTCCTTTTGTGAGTTGGTTGGCTAATATGTGACAACAGGGTTCTGAAGATAATGACACATTCAAAGCCTCTTAAGGTCCAGGCTCAACTGGCATTTCATTTCTGCTACATTCTGTTGGTCAACAAGTTTAGAATGGGGTGAGGAATTTTTTTTTAATGTGAAGAGCTACAAAGTCAAATTGAAAAGGGGCATAGATACAGGGAGTGAAAGAATTGTGGCCGCTTTTTGAAGGCAGTCAAAGTTACTTGGCTGAGCTAACCAGTGGGTTAGATGCTTTGAACAGTTCTGGAAGTGTTTGTTGGAAAATCTGTTTGCCTGTTTGCCTCTCTCTCTTTTTTGACGGCATCTCACTCTGTAGCTCAGACTGGCTTTGAATTCACTAATCTTCCTGCCTATTGTGATTATAGGCATGAACTACCATTTCTGGCCTAAGTAACTCCTCTTCATTACCTCTTTTCTGTCTTATCTCCCCTAGACGCCAGTGAAACCTCTGTTCAGAACAACATCCTGGAGCTTTGTATCTTCTCTCTTGTGTATGTCTTTATTTCTATGCTTCGTTCTAGATAGGTTCTTTAACCTGCTTTCTGTTTTAGCCGTTTTTCAGCTGTCGCATTTGGTGTTGGGTATTTAAGCTGGTTATAATGTTTTTCAGTTGTCATTGCTGATGCTTTGTTTTCCAGTGACACGACACCAGTTTCTACTTTCTTGTTGAACTTCAAAGCTTGCCTTTCCTCCCTGGGTGTAATTATATTACAATTTTTCTGGCTTCAGAATAATTCCTAGTTGTTGCAGTTGATTGTTGCTTTTGCTGATGCTAGCTAATACTGTCGTGTGCCTTACTAATCTTTGTTTTTTGGCAAATTATTTTCTGTTTTTAGAGACGGTTTGGAGCCAGGACCCTGTGTGTCAGAGAATGTTTATTCCCTCTGTCAGCACCTGCTAACAGTCTAAGACAAAAAGACTTCAGATTTTTTTTTTCCTGGATAATCCTTGGTACTGAATTTGTAACCTTATTTCAAGGTGCTTGTGTTTCTCTCCTGGTTTGGCAGACAAAGAGCTTGAATCGCATCCCTCCAGCTCTGTTAGTCTCTCAGAAACAGCAGCTTGCTTCCCATTCTTTGCAGCAGATTTACAGAGAGCTCCAAAGTAGAGCCCTCCCTTTTCTCTGTACTAGAAGTGTCTTTCAAACCACCGCAGAGGGTTTAGGAGTCTTTCTGTTTGTGTTTTTGTGTATTTTGAAATGGTTGCTTATTTTATTGTATGTGTATTAATGTTGGCTTGCATGTGTGTGTGTACCTTGTGCACTCGGAGGCCCAGGTTCATTTCCTAGCACCTGTGGCTAACAACCATCTGAAATTCCAGTTCCAGATCAGATGACCTCTTGTGGCCTCCATGGGTACTGCATACTCTTTGTTCACAGACATCTGTGTAGGCAAAACACCTACACACAAAGTAAAAGTAAATGTCTCAATTTTTGTTGTGGTTGGTTGATTGGTTTTTTTGAGACAGGGTTTCACTGTGTAGCCCTGGCTGTCCTGGGAACTTACTCTGTAGACCATGCTGGCCTTGAAGTCATGTATATCCACCTGGCTTTGCCTCCCAAGTGCTGGGACTAAAGGTGTAGGCCACCACGCATGGTATAAAATTTTTTTTAACTTTAGGCTAGGCATTAAATTTATCTAAGTACTGACCTTTGAATATTAGTTTGTATAAAATACTCTAGACATATATAAATATGATTTAGCTGTAATCTTGATTTAATAGAATATAATCGAATTTGAAAATTATTAATATTCAGTTAAAAATAAATGATAAATCATAAAGCATAACCTATCTGAAAATGTGGTCAGATCAATAAATATGTAAATATAAGTATAAGAACATTCTAACTTGTATGTATATGAATTTGTGTGTGTGCATACTATAAATGATGTGTATACATGAATTTGTGTGTGTGTGCATACTTTAAGTGAGCATATATATGAATGTGTGTGCATACTATAAGTGAGGTATATACATGAATTGTGTGTGTGCACACACATACTATAAGTCTATGTACATGAATTTGTGTGTATACATACTATAAGTAGGTATATGTATGAATGTTCGTATGTGTGCATACTATAAGTGAGGTATGTACATGAATGTGTGTGTGTGTGTGCATACTTTTTGTTTAGATTTTGTCTTTTCAAGACGGGTTCTTTGTGTAGCCTTGGCTATACTGGAACTCACTCTGTAGATCAGGCTGCCCTCTAACTCACAGAGATGTGCCTGCCTCTGCCTCCCTGAGTATTCAGATTAAAAGTGTGCACCACCACTGCCTGACTGTGTGTGGTTACTATAAGTGAGGTATGTACATGAATGTGTGTGTGCACACTGTTAAGAGTGAGAAGGCTAGAATGAGACACTTTGTAGGAAGTAATTTTCTAACACAGTCCTGTCCCTTAGGACTCAGACCTAGTAGTGTCTCTTGTAGAGACAAGGCTTACTGTTTCCTTTCCTTCTTATACCTGCCAGCACACCTGCTTCCATTATGGCTTTGCCACATTCCATAACCAGGGCTGGGGATTTTGGATGAGCTGGGAATGAAGCTGGATGTAGCTTTGAAAGTGGGCCCTACAAAATAGGTCACCAATCTGAATTGGTTGGGGTCTTATTTGTGCAAGTTTTTCTTCCAGGCTTCCTTCTGAACCACTTTCTGAAGAACTGAAACATTGCTAGGTTTGTAATTGCATTTAACTAGCCAGGTGTGATGGCTCATGCCTGTAGTTCAAACACTGGGGAAACTGAGACAGGAGGATTTCTCTGAGGTTAATCAGGGTGACGCTGAGTTCCTAGCCAGCTTGGACTACAAAGGGAGATCCTGTTCAGAAAACAAAAATAAATAAAATGTTTTTAACTAAAGTTTTTTTAAACATACGGTGCTGGGCGATGGTGGTGCACACTTAACCTCAGTACTGAGGAGACAGGCAATGGAGGCCTGGGTTTGATCCCCAGAGCCCATGTGAAGGTGAAGGAGAAAACCAGCTCAACAAAGTGGTCCTCTGACTTCTACATGTGCACCGTGTGGGGTGTTTTGCTTGCTTGCATGTCTATTTGTGCATGTGCCTAGTGTTCACAGAGGCTAGGAAAGGGTGTCAGATTCCTGGAACTAAAGTTATAGATGGTTGTGAGCCACCTTGTGGGTTTTGGGAATTGAACCTTGGTCCACTGGAACAGTAGCCAATGTTCTTAACTGCTGAGCCATCTCTATGGACCCAATAATAAATGGTTTGGCGTTTTTGTTTATTTCTGAGACAGGGTTTCTCTGTGTTGCCCTGGAGACCAGACTGGCCTTGAACTCAACTGCCTCTGCCTCCCAAGTGCTGGGATTAAAGGCGTTGCTCACCACAGCCTGGCAGTAAGTGTTTTGAAAAAGACAAAAGAGAAGGCTGGAGAGATGGATTAGTGGTTAGAGTGCTGGTCACTTACTCCTCTAGAGAACTGGGGTGGATATCCCAGCACCAACTGTGGGTGACTCACAACTACTTGTAACTCCAGCTCCAGGGATCTGATGTCCTTTCCTGCCCTCCGTGGGCACCCAAATTCATGTGATAGATGCTCTAACCAACAGATAGGCAAGCTTAAAAAAATAAATCTTAAAAATTAATAAAAGGACAAACAATAAAAAAATAAAATTTAGCCCTCTTATACTGACTCAGTTTAAGAAGTAAAATGTTTTGTGCCTTATCCTTCAAGACATTGTATATTTCAGTGAATGAAGGAAGCTCCCTGTCCTCCTGGAACTTATGCTTTAGGAAGGAACTTACTGGTAATTGCCTGGTAATTGTCTTGAACCCCCCGCCCTCCCAAATTGTTAAGATCACATTTATTTGTTTGTTTGTTTGGTTTATTTATTTATTTATGCGTGATCTGAGAACAAATTCTGGAAAATCAGTTCCAGAGATAGAACGCAGATATCAGAACTGGCGGAAAATAACTTTATCTGTTGAGCTATTTCACCAATCCTGAGGCTTAGTGTTTTTGTGATTGGTTGGAAACTAAAAAATACAGGTTTTTTTTTCCAATGTGCTGTAAAGAAAATGGCTAACGAGAGCCTAATAGAAGAAAGTAGGGCAAATTAACAGACTGAGTACGTGTCAAAATTAGTGTAGAAATGAATAAACAGGCCAGGGCATGGTGGCACACCCAGCTTCCTAGCATTTGGGAAGCAGAAATGGGAGGATCAAGGATTCCAAGCTAGCTGAGCTACATAGAGAATTCGAGGCCAGCTTGAACCTATATCACTGTGAAACTCTGATCCCGAAAACCAGAAGCAGATATACAATAAGGAATAAATAAACTTAGGGATTTATTTATTAGACAATACATATCTCAGTTTCATTTCGGTTGCTGCTGTAAAATACTCTGAAAGCAACTTAGGAGAAAGGGCTTATTTCAGCTCTCAGTTCCAGGTGACTGTCCATCCCTGCTGGGAAGTGAAGGCAGCAGGAGCTTGAAGCTGCTGCCACATCACCGTCAAGAGCAGAGAGAATGAGTGCATGGCGAATGTGCTCAGCTTGCTTTCTCAGTCCTCGTACTTCAGGACTCCTGCTTAGGGAATAGTGCTGCAACAGTGGGCAGGTCTTGAGATAGTCAAGATCCCCAGCAGGAGCGTCCAGAGGCCACTCCTCCTTGAGAGTCTTCCTCAGTAATCATTTCAAGTTGACACTTAGAGCTAAACACTCATTGTTTGTATTTGATGCTGTTTTAGATATCGTCAGATTCTGGAAAAAGCCATCCAGTTATCTGGGACAGAACAACTAGAAGCTCTGAAAGCTTTTGTGGAAGCGAGTGAGTAGAATGGAAGTGTCCTGCTTGCCTTGTGTTGCTGAGAGGTCCTCACAGCTCATCAGCTGTTACAACCGTCATGTTAAATGTGCTTTCAGACCGTTTTATTCCAGACTTCTAACACTTACAGTTGGGTTAGTTTCCAGCTGAATTGTCGTAAGAGGAAAAGTGTAAAAATTTCCCCAGTTTTTTCCATTTCTTAGAAAATTTACTGTATTTTTCCTGCCTTGTTGTAGTAGATATGCAGTCAGTAAAATACAGCATGAAGAAACTAATTATGTAGCATGAGATGATAAATCTCTGAGTAATACATTGAAAGTTGCTCATGTGGAATGTTAAAATGATAATTTTAAGAAAAATTTTGATTGCTTAATGGAAACTTACAATTATTCATGTTTCATATTTCTCATCTTATTTTTTAACAAGTGGTGAATGAGAATGTCAGTCTTGTGATCTCCCGGCAACTGCTGACAGATTTCTGCACACACCTCCCTAACCTGCCGGACAGCACAGCCAAGGAGATCTATCATTTCACCTTGGAGAAGGTCCAGCCCCGTGTCATTTCTTTTGAGGAACAGGTAAAAGCCTAGAGTTGTGGATTTTGTTGTTGTTGTTGTTTTGTTTTAACGAATCAGGAGACTTTCCAGTAACTTCTTTCTTTCTTTCTTGTTTTGAAAAAAAAAGCTTTCATACAATATATTTTGACTGTTTTCTTTTCCCCCAATTGCTCCCCACCTCCCTACCAGCTCAACTTTGTATTCTTTTTTCTCTTAAAACAAAGCAAAACAAAACATAAAAACCTCCAAGAAACCAAATCAAGAAACCAACAAACAAAAACCCAACAAAGCCACAGGAAAAAAAATCAAAACAAACAAGCAAAAGACCCATAAGACAAAAAAAACCATGCCGGGTGCTGGAGAGATGGCTCAGCGGTTAACAGCTAACTGCTCTCTTCCAGAGGACTTGGGTTCAATTCCCAGAACCCACATGGTAGCTCACAATTGCCTGTAACTCCAGGATCTAGTACTCTCACATATACAGACATTCAAGCAAAACACCAATGCACATAAAATAAAAATAAATAAAATGCCCAAACAAAGCAAAATGAAACTGAAAGTCCACAGAAATACCATCAGGTGTGGGGTCTGATAGATAGACCCAGAGAGACTGATTTCCCTTTGCCACAGGGTATGGGTTGTAAACGGCTTCTTGGTTAGATATATGACCATATGTCTCCTCCCACCTCTCAGAGCTAGAGCCCTGTCTGACTTGAGACTCTGTGGGCCCTGTGCCACCTGCCTCAATCTCTGTGATATGTTTCGCAGACATACTGTGTTAGAACAGTAGATTTTGATCTGAAGATAGGATTATTTTTATGATCTGATATTATTAACTGTGTGTAACCTTTAGTCTTTCTGTCCGCTGCCTGGTTCCTGTTGCTGCTTTCAGCCCCCAAATAACACACAAGACACTGTATTAATTATGAAGCTGTTGGCTGTTTGCTTGGTTTCTTATTGGCTAGCTCTGACTTGATTATTAACCCATTACTAATATATATATTTTTATAAGGACTTATCTTTCCAAGGACGCAGCCTCATGTATCCTCTCCCCGTGATCACATGGTGACGTCTCTTCACTACATTTCCCAGAATCCTCCTAGACTCCTAGTCCCACCTGTCTTGCTTCCCTATTGGCCAACAGTGCTTTATCCAAACCAATCATGCATATTTACAGAATGACATCTCCCAACAACTACATATAGGAGATAATTGCTCAGTTTCATAGTATAAAACTGTGTCAAACAGCATTTATAATGTAAAATCAAATAAGTATTAGGATATTGCAGCTCCAACTGGAGCATTAGTAAGATTTTTATAGAATTTTCTTTGTTATTATATGATATGTAGGTATGTAAATATGTGTCACCATGCACAGGTAGAGGTCATAAGTCAGTTCTGTGGAATTAGTGCTGTTCTCTGGCCTGCGTGTGGATTCTGGGAATCAAACTTGAATTGTAGGGTTTGGTTGCATTGTACCTTTACAATCTCAATAGTCGTAGTAAGATTATTTTTAAGTTAAGATTAAATCAGACATCATGTATATAGCAGCGCAAAAACAAAATTTAATACTGAAAACAAAATGTTGCCAAAATATACATTGTAGAAATGAGTTGTTTCAGTTCACTGTTTTGATATCCGTGAATGCAAACTTGATAGAAAAAAAACTGGATGATCCATATAAACCTGTGAATTACTTATCACTGTAATATCTTGGATGAGAGCACTGTTACAGTCTGTGTCTGTCATTCTAGGTTGCTTCCATAAGACAGCATCTTGCATCTATTTATGAGAAAGAAGAAGACTGGAGAAATGCAGCCCAAGTGTTGGTGGGGATTCCTCTGGAAACAGGACAAAAGTATAGTAAATAGTGGATTTGGGTGGACATGTCTAAGTGCTCACTAACACTCTTCCTTACTCCTAACGTAGGCAATACAAATATGTATAGTGTGTGGATGGTAGTAAGTGCTTCTCAGAGGGTGACCATGAGCTAGCTGACTGAGGGCAGAGGATGACAAGTCACTCAAAGGTCTTAAGATGCCAGCATATTTATAATGTTTTCTTAAGAATAAGGATACCAGTATGGGTAGTGTGAACACAGAGAAAGACGAGAATGAAATCAGTCCTGGGGATCAGATCCGATGGGTCCTTGAAGCCCTTGTAAGGACTTTGATTCAAAGAAAAAAGAGAGTGCCACACGTGGCGGGGCACACCTTTAATGCCAGCGCTCAGAGGCAGATCTCTGTGACTCGAGGTCAGCCTGCTTTACTCAGTAACAGGCTGGCCAGGGCTTCATAGTACCCCATCCCTCCACAACAAAACAACAGGGGAAAATGAGAGTGAGCCATTAGGTGATTTTGAGCCAAAAAGTGACATAGTATGATATGTATTTTAAAGAATCACTGACTACTGGGTGGAGAACAAGCTGTTGGCAGCAGTAGTAGAAGTAACGGTATTAATTAAGAAGCTTGTGCATGACCATAGCTAAGGAGGGGGGTTCTAAGAAATGTATCCTGTAGATTTCCTGTGGCTTTGCTTTATTTCCAATGAGGCGTATACAAAGCCATCAAGTCCTGGCTTTTTGGCCTGAGCAACTGGAAACATGGAGTTGTCATGCATGCCCTGTAGCATGTAGATTTGAAGGGGAGCTCAAGTGTTTATTCTGCATTGTGATAACCAAGTGAAGATCCCTAGTAGTGAGTAGAGGCAAAGGATTTTAGTCTGGAGGTGGTGGAGCATGCTTGGTTACAAGTAGACATTTGGGAGCTGTTGCCTACTAGACTGGACTGACACCTTTCCAAGGGAGGGAAAGGATGTAGTTAGAGAAGACGAGTGTCCTGGGCAAGAAGGTTAGTGGCACCTGGCTCTTCTTCCTCGGGGCAGCAGCGCTGCTGTGCCTTGTTGAAACAAGCAGAAATGCCAGATGTTCCCTGGGGGACACACTGGTCCCAGGGATGTGAGGGACGAGAGAACAAAAGGCTGTGTGTACTAGGGCTGGGGTGGACTTTGTGCAAGTAGCCATCAGCTGCAGTCACAGGGGAGGGAGCTGTGAGAGTGAAGAGATAGAGTAATGTAACTCTGGGTAAATGGTAACTTGTTTCCTTAAAACATTGTTCATTTTGACTTTTAAAGTAATGCATAGATTGCCTGATAGAAAATTGAAAAATTGAGGAAGTTTAATGTGATATGACAGTGGGAAAACATTAACTATTGATAATAAACAAGCTAAACAAACAATTCCAGTTCATAGACATCCTTCCCATGATCTGTCCCTCCGCCACAAAAATCAAAACAATTAATTTTAGAGTGAGAGCCAAGGGAAATCTAAGGTTTGTTTTTTTCTTGTCACAAGGCATTCCTTCTTTGGTTGGCAAATAGCAAAGAATACTTTTCTATGAAGATTAATCTTGAGTTATGAGTTTTGAGTTTTGTGAGGTATCCAGGTCTTCATTCCTGGAATAAAGCTTTAACCAATGAAGGAAGGAAGGAAGAAACTGAAAGTGTCTTCTCACCATTACCGTGATTGATATCACACTTAGTGTATGTATAAAAGTGCATTTTACTTGGGTAACACAGATACATTTTAATGATGTTTGATACACACTTGTGTTCACAGTTTATATTTTTGACATAGGTTCTTGCTATAAAGCCCTGGCTTGGTCTGCAGACCAGGCTGGCCTCAAACTCACAGAGATCTGCCTGCCTCTGTCTCCAGAGTGCTGGGATGAGAGGTGTGCCACCATAACCCAGCCGTAGCCCGCTTTTTCACTAAAATAAAAAGGTGTCTATAAGCTCTTATTAATGATAATAGTTACATACTCTTCTACCTTTTTACACACCACAGCTTCATTGCTATAAATACTATACAGTGATTTCCATTTTTTCCCTAACATAAATAATTATGAATAACTCTACAAGTTAATTTCCTTGTAATAAATACATGGGCCCATGCCTTACTGTCTTTTTAGGATTTGGTATCTGGAAGTAAAGTATGGTAGATGAAAGGCACGCAAATTTAAAGAATTCGAAGGATAATTGAGGAATTAATTGCTGGATTGTTCTCCAGGCAGGCTGAGCCTGGATATAGTTCCACTAGTAATATCTGATGAACCTGAAGCTTGGCACTTTTGTCTTTGTAATCTTTGTTTTATGATACTGAGGATTAGAACCAGCTATATTATGACCAGTGATGATAAAAATTTAAAAAGATCATGGAATCATAGTTTTTCAATAACATAATGTAATAAGAATTTTATGTTTGTTTCTTGTTGTTTTTATTTGTCCTAGACAGTACAATGTAGATTATAAGCTGGAGACTTACCTGAAGATTGCTAGGCTGTATCTGGAGGATGATGACCCTGTCCAGGCTGAGGCTTATATAAACCGGGCATCCCTGCTTCAGAATGAGTCCACGAATGAACAGTTACAAATACATTACAAGGTAACAAATAACTAATTGGGAATTAATTTTGTATTGACGGGTTATATACCAAGATGTTTGAGAATATCTGATGGATGTTTATATATTTTGGAAATCCTTTTTGTGTCTTTTCTCTGTGTACTAGCTGGTTTTGTGTCAATTTGACACAAGCTAGAGTCATTAGAGAGGAAGGGGCCTCAGCTGAGGAAATGCCTCCTTGAGATCCAACTGTAGGACGCTTTCTCAATTAGTGATCAGTGAAGGAAGACCCAGCCCATGGTGGTGGTGGTGGTGGTGGGGCATCTCTGGGCTGTGGTCCGGGTTCTGTAAGAACCCTCCATGGCCTCTGCATCATCTCCTGTGTGCAGGTTCCTGCCCTGCTTGAGTTCCCGTACTGACTTCCTACAGTGATGAACACTGCTGAGAAAATATTAGCCAAATAAACCCTTTCCTCCTCAACTTGCTTTTTGGTCATGGAGTTTTGTCATGGCAGTAGAAATTCTAACTGAAATTTTGTCTTTCTGGTTTCCCCTAATTGGAGTGTTTTCCCTCTGCAGGTATGCTATGCACGTGTCCTTGATTACAGAAGAAAATTTATTGAAGCTGCCCAAAGGTACAATGAGCTCTCTTACAAAACCATAGTGCATGAAAGTGAAAGACTGGAGGCCTTGAAACATGCTTTGCACTGCACCATCTTAGCATCAGCAGGTAAGCTGAGATTCGTGCTTACATGGAAGGGTTGTCCCTGCTCAGTAGTGTTAGGAGGTAACTGTGGAGGAGTCTGCGGTGTCTTTGTACAAATAAGGTGAGTTTAAGCATGGAAGCAAAAATGGGAGTAAGATGATTTACCTTAGACAGTTTAAGGTGAATGTAATCAGCGTGTTAACCACATGTTAAGAATAGTTAAGAGCCTTTATTCCCAGCACTTGGGAGGCAGGGGCAGGCAGATCTCTGTGAGTTCCAGGCCAGCCTGGTCTACAGAGTGAGTTCCAGGACAGGCTCGAAAACTACACAGAGAAATCGTGTCTCAAAAATTGAGAGAGAGAGAGAGAGAGAGAGAGAACGAGAATGAGAGAGAGAGAGAGAGAGAGAGAGAGAGAGAGAGAGAGAGAGAGAGAGAGAGAGAGATTGATTGATTGGTTAGTTAAGAGGTAGCAAAGCTTTTTTCTAAAATTTCACTGAAGAAAAAACTGGTTCCTAAGTTAATAAGAAGCACAGAGGAAGAAACAAAGATTAAAACCTAGAGACTGGGTGAGTAAGGTGACTCCTCCAGTAGAGGAGTTGTTGCCCAGTGTGATGATCATGTAATTGTAAGTTGTCCAGTTGCTGTCTCCAGTTGAGAGTGATGTTGTAGTAGTCTGCCTGTTCATAGCTAAGCTTCTACTGTGAGCAGGTGTCCTTTTGTGTGCTACTGGGGCTTCACTTTCTATAGTTTTATGCCCATTGTTGATGATGTTGTTATTTAAAATGGTCCCCTGACATGCTGCTGGATGTCCTCTGGTGAGTGCGTGTGTCTGTGTGTGTGTGTGTGTGTGTGTGTGTGTGTGTGTGTGTGTGTGTGTGTGTCTGTGTGTCTGTGTGTCTGTCTGTGTGTGTCAGTGTGTGTGTGTGTGTGTCTGTCTGTCTGTGTATGTGTCAGTGTGTGTGTGTGTGTGTGTGTGTGTGTAGGTGTTAGTGGATATTAGAGCTGGACAAGATCTTTCTGTGTAGTCTTGGCTGACCAGTGGCCACTGGCCTCAAACTTCTGGATGTCCTCTTACCTCAGCCTCCCATGTACTGGGATTACTGGCATGCACTACCATGCCCTCTAATGTTCATAAGGATAGACAGTCTGATATGGAGTTTTTGTGTGACAAAATAGTGTCATGTAAACCTTATTTCGGCAGAATTACAGTGTCAGCTGTGAGCTCAAGACTAATGAATAACAATATATATTAAGATTCTAAACAGACATGAAACAAAGTTGCAGATTGATTAAGGTTGACAAAACATTGTCTAGGGGCTCAGAAGAACCCAGTTCTGTATCTACCATAGAAGCAGCAGCTGAACATTAAGTGGTGCAATGACTTCCTAGAGCATTCTATATGTTATACTACATATATATTAGTGGGGATTGTATTTTAGTAGGCAAAAATGGGATCATGGAATGTAATTGTTTTTGTCATTGAAGAAACAGAACACTTGACACTCCTGTGTTTCCCCTAGGACAGCAGCGGTCTCGGATGCTTGCTACGCTTTTTAAGGATGAACGGTGCCAGCAACTTGCTGCATATGGGATCCTAGAGAAAATGTACCTAGATAGGATCATCCGAGGGGACCAGCTTCAAGAGTTTGCTGCAATGCTCATGCCTCACCAAAAAGCAACTACAGCCGATGGTAATGATATGTCTTAACTGTATGTGGTGGCGAATGTTTAGGTACAGACTAATAGAGAGTACGTTAGATTAGTATGTTCAAGTAATACTTCCTGATTAATAGAGGACTATTGACAAATGATGAATGTTAAGCACAGACATAGGTTTGTGGCATATTCTAAAATCGTCCCTATTAGAAAGCATTTTGTGAAATAACACTTTCTTTTCATCCTTTTTGTTTGTTTTGAAACTTGTGAAAACTGAAAAATTACAGAGAATATCTATGGCACCTGGAGTTTTAAAAAGCTTAAGCCACAGCTGGGCGGTGGTGGCGCACGCCTTTAATCCCAGCACTTGGGAGGCAGAGGCAGGCGGATCTCTGTGAGTTCAAGGCCAGGCTGGACCAACAGCCTCCAAAACAATACAGAGAAACCCTGTCTCATAAAACCAAAAAAAAAAAAAAAAAAAAGCTTAAGCCACTGGTAAATAGCATTAAATAACAGATTATGATAGAGCATAATTATCCATTCTTGATTAAGAGCTAAATCTAGTTTAGTCGCTTGCCTAAGGTTCATCAGAGCTTGCTAATCAAAATAGACTTCCTTTTGTATTTTCTGGATAAATGATGTGTTTACTTAAATCAGAATGTCTTTGCCAGGAAAAAGTTTTTTAATGTTTTCTTCATAATACTAATTAGTTTATGTACATTTGTCTACAGATGTTTTAAAGTACTTGCTATAGTGACCATGATACTAAACATAGAGGTGTAAACATGGAGAAACATGCAAAGAACATTTTCAGCATGCATGTCAACTAGACCACTGCCCTGGACTATTGTCACCCTGTACCAAAGAGACATTAGTTGTGAGGAGTCATTTATACTGGAGCTAGCATTCTTAACTGCTTAGAGCCGAGCCAGATGAGTGACCTATTGCCCTCAGGTGGCTCCTGTATTTCTACCTAAAGGGCATTTCTTTTAATGCATTTTTAAGGGTTTTATTTTTATTTATGTGTATATGTGCGTGTCAGTATGAGTAAACCCTAGGTGTGTGGAGGTGTCCTGGGAGGCCAGAAGATAATACCAACTGGTGGTAGAAGCCAGTGTGATCTACCCAATGTGGCCACTGGGAATCTCAGGTCCTTAACATGCTGGGTTGTCTCTAGCCCTGAGGTTTTACTTTCATGGAATTTTCTCTATGTGGGATATCAGGGGAAATTCCTTTATGGCTGTAGGATTATTTCTGGTTCTGAGGAATTAGCTTTTATTTAAATACATTGTGAATTGATAAATTGATTCTCTTACTTTGTTTGGCTTCTAGAAATGTTAAAATTAAACTTGTAGCCTAACTATGAGTAATATGTATCTGCATTAATTGAAGTAATTACTCTTGTTTTGTTTTGTAACTTTTGATTTCTTTTTTTTTTTCATATTTATTATGTCTATAGTATCTGTCTGCATGTATCTCTGCAGGCCAGAAGAGGGCACCAGAGATCTCATTACAGATGGTTGTAAGCCATCATGCTGTTGCTGGGAATTGAACTCAGGACCTCTGGAAGACCAGCCAGTGTTTTTAACCACTGAGCCATCTCTTAAGCCCCTAACTTTTGAATTTTTTTTTTTTTTTTTTGGTTTTTTCAAGACAGGGTTTCCCTGTGGCTTTGGAGGCTGTCCTGGAACTCACTTGGTAGACCAGGCTGGTCTCGAACTCATAGTGATCCGCCTGCCTCTGCCTCCCGAGTGCTGGGATTAAAGGCGTGTGCCACCAACGCCCGGCCTAACTTTTGAATTCTTAACCCTCTATATATTCTAAGCAGCCATTATTTCTTTTTAAAATTATCTGATGTGTAAATTGTTTAAATGTTTAAAGCTAAGTAGAAAGTTTCTTTTTTTTTTTTTTTCTCGAGACATTGTTTCTTTGTATTGTTTTGGAGGCTGTCCTGGAACTAGCTCTTGTAGACCACAGAGATCCGCCTGCCTCTGCCTCCAGAGTGCTGGGGTTAAAGGCGTGCACCACCAACGCCCTGCTAGTAGAAAGTTTCTAGAATTAATATAGTTGATCTTTAGATTTGCGTTTGAGCTTTGTGGTCATAAAAGTGGAAAAATATTGTCTTAGGGTTTCTACTGCTGTGAAGAGACACTGTGACCATGACAACTCTTATAAAGGAAAACATTTAATTGGTACTGACTTACGGTTCAGAGAGTTAATCCAGGCTGGGGATGTAGACTGGTACAGTGATACAATGTTTTCTACTGAAGGCCATGATCAATCCAAGCACAAAAGAAAGGGAAGGAGGAAGGGACAGACAGTGGGAAAGGAGAAGACTGCGCTTGACTAAATCATTTTTTGTCTTCCTCCCTCCCTCCCTCCCTTACTTCGTTCCTTCCTTCCTTCCCTCCCGTCTTGTGACAGGGGTTGGTGATTGGTGAGCAGTTATAAGAAAAGGTTTTGTAGACTTCTTCCCTGGAGGTCTCTGAATATCCATGCCTTAGCTCCCGATCTGTAGTAAATGCTCAACAAAGACATAAAGCTGGGTGAGCCCAGGAGGAAGGTAGGCTGAGGCCAGGGCTTCACAAGGTCCTAGATTCACTAACCTAAAGGGGGTTCTGTTTCTGAACTCTGGGAAAAGTGGCTGCTCCTACCCCCGGGGCCTGCCTCACATTTGCCTCACAGTAGTAATGTGCTTATGGATGATCTGAAGAATGAGATGAGGGCTGGAAAATGCTTCAGCAGTTAAGAGTGTGCACCCACATCTCACACTGCCTGTAAATCAGCCACAGAGAACATGATGCCCCCCAGTATACATAGCTAAAGATAAAAATGAACCTTTAAACATTAAGATGAGGGATTTTATGAGACTCCCAGAGCATGGTATATGATTGTTGTGCTGCTGTTTGCTAGTAAAGGAAGGGGCTTGAAGCAGAAAAAGAAAAGGTAATGGGTTTGTCAGCTGGAAGTAAAGCCCCAGTGTAAAGGGCTAAATCCATCCTTGGTAATTACTCCCCAATTACTCACTATATTCATCATGTTCCTCACCATAATACCTGACAAAAGCAGCCGAAGGTAGGAAGGACTTACTTAGACTCACAGTGTGAGGACACAGACACACAGTGTGCAAGGCATGATGGCAGCTGTGTGCAGTGACTGGTCTCACAGCATCTACAGTAAGGACGCAGGAAGAACACGCAGGGTCACACAGCATCTATAGTACAGGTGTGGGGAGAACACGCAGGGTCTCACAGCATCTACAGTAAGGACGCAGGGAGAACACGCAGGGTCACACAGCATCTACAGTAAGGACGCAGGGAGAACACGCAGGGTCACACAGCATCTACAGTAAGGACGCAGGGAGAACACGCAGGGTCACACAGCATCTACAGTAAGGACGCAGGGAGAACACGCAGGGTCACACAGCATCTACAGTAAGGACGCAGGGAGAACACGCAGGGTCTCACAGCATCTACAGTAAGGACGCAGGGAGAACACGCAGGGTCTCACAGCATCTATAGTACAGGTGTGGGGAGAACACGCAGGGTCACACAGCATCTACAGTAAGGACGCAGGGAGAACACGCAGGGTCACACAGCATCTACAGTACAGGTGCGGGGAGAACACGCAGGTGCTGTGCTGACTTTCCTCTTTTCATGCAGTCCAGGACCCCAGCCTAGGATTGGTGTGTCCACCTTCAGTTGGGCCTTTGCTCGCCAGTTAAACCTCTCTGGAATCACCCTCCAGACACACCCAGAGATGTGTTTCTGTGTGTGATTGGCTATTGAACATTAGTTGTCACATGGTTTTTCTAAATACTGTATTGTATTTGTTAGTATGTAAACTAAAATGGTAAATGTACCCTGCATATTGGTGCTTGCTGTTAATCTTAGCACTTGGGAGGCAGAGGCAGGCAGATCTCCGAGTTTGAAACTATACTGGTCTACAGAATGAGTTCCAGGACAGTCAGGGATACTTACAGAAACTCTGTTATTATTACTATTATTATTATTTTATCAAATGTAAGATTTAGTAATGTATTGATCAGAGGAGTTGCTTTTAATGATTTGTTACATGCCTAGGAATTTATTTGTTTATTTATTTATTTTTTACAAAATAATGGTTTATCTTTGTAAAGTATAAAATTAGTTTCAAACATTTAATGAGTTTATTTATGTTTATTTAAGGTTCCAGCATCTTGGACAGAGCTGTTATTGAGCATAATTTGTTGTCAGCAAGCAAATTGTATAACAATATCACCTTTGAAGAACTTGGAGCTCTTTTAGAGATCCCTGCAGCTAAGGTATTTTATTAACTCAATACTTTATAACAGGGAATTGAAATCCAAAACTATTGAAGTAATGGAAAAATACATAATTGATAATGTTTGTCAGCACAACAAAAACTATATGTTTAAAGCCTTGGGTAAGCGGAAGAGACTGTGTAAATGGTGAAATACCGTTGTCATGAAACTGAGTAGCTTTAGCCTTCAGAATGTTTATGATCGTTCCTTAGAATAGAAATCTTAGAGAAGTCCCAAATTATACTCTTTCCATAAGGACATCTTAGTTTGGTGTCTTTAAGTTTCTGAAGCATTAGATGGAGATCATTTCATCCTTGTTTCTCTGCCCTAGAGTGACTCTGACCCCAGGATGTTCTATTGTAATTTCTGAGTTTGGCTTAATTTAAGGACTTGACTGACTTACTAGGGAATTTTATTTTATTTTTTGGATTTGATTGAGATACACAGTACCAATTGTATTTATAGTGTTATTGTTTATGGGCTATCATCTTAATTTCAAATGAGACTGAGAGTAAAGTCATGCAGTTTATCATATTGTGAAATTGTAATTTAGGATTTTCTTTCTGCTTTTGTTTGAGACAGGATTTCATGCAGCCTAGACTGGTCTCAAACTTGGTAGGAGACTGAAGCCAAGGATGACCTTAAACTCTGGGTCCTCCTGCCTCCTCCTCCCAAGCACTGAGATTACAGGTGTGTGTATACCATACTGCATTTAGGATTTTCTAACAGTTCTTTGCATGTACACGCTTAGTAAAAAAAGTGGATTGATTTGGAAACGAGACTACAGTTGCCATTTAAAAGATGTTTTCTTAGTTCAGAGTAAGACAGACAAACAAACATGCTTTCTTCTCAGGGTTGGTGGTCTAGTACTTGTGGAGACTAAGGGAAGTGAATACATTGTTAATGATAGACTATAATCAGTCAGTAGGAAGATGCAGTCATGATTGTGAGGATGTCAGTGTACAGATGAGCAGTTCAGGAGCTGGAGAGATGACTCAGTTAGGAGCACTGGCTTTTCTTGCAGAGGACCTAGGTTTGATTTCCAGGACTCAATACAGTGGCTCAGAAGCATCTGTAACTCCGTTCCAGAGAATCCTATGCCCTCTCCTGGCCTCCTGCAGCAGGCATGCATGTGGTGCTCAGACATCATGCAGGCAAGACACCCAGACACATTGAAAACCAAAACCGAATGACCAGTCACAATCGAGTCTGCTTGTATACACTAAACATTAACTGAGGCAACAGAAGTTGGATTTTGAACATTTTGCTTTTGCCCCTCTTTTAAATCTTATTTCCTTTTTGAATATGAACATCTGTTTCTTTGTTTGGTTCTTGAACTTTTTAAAAAATAGTATTTTCTTAAGTTTTTGGGCTGAGTATGGGACATCTTGTGATCAAAGGACTCAGGAGGATAAGGTAAGAAGGTAGCAATCTTGTCTATATAGGGAGTCACTGTCTCAAAAACCAAACAACGAAATGTGTAAATAGAATTCTTACTTGGTCTAAATAATAAAAACCTGGAGTCAGATATGGAGGAAAATGCTGAGAGATCAGAGAGAAAGGACAAGCCATAGCCACACCTTACCTCCTTAGCATCTCAGCAGACAAGAGCTTGAGTTTCAATTTCTGCCAGCTTATATCCTCTCTCTGCCCAGCCATCTCCTTCCTGTCTGTCTGTACAGACCTCCAGAACCCCATGTTTAGCTGCTGGCAAGCTCCATTCTTTGATCTTCAGACAGGCTTTATTTGTACAAGCAAGGTATCACCACAGAAATGTTTTGTAATGAATACACAGAAATTTTATTTAAGATTTTAATTATTTTACATGTATGAACTTTTTAAAAAGATGTACTATCCGGGTGGTGGTGGCGGCGCACCCCTTTAATCCCAGCACTTGGGAGGCAGAGGCAGGCGGATCTCTGTGAGTTCAAGGCCGGGCTGGACCGACAGCCTCCAAAACAATACAGAGAAACCCTGTCTCGTAAAACCAAAAAAAAAAAGTACTATTTTTGTGTGTGTGTGTGTGTGTGTGTGTGTGTGTGTGTGTGTGTGTGTGTGTGTGTCTGTGTGTGTTTTATGTGTGCCCAAGAAAGCCAGAAGAGGACTTCAGATATCCTGGAATTAGAATTACAATCAGCTGTGAGACACCTAATGTGGATGCTGGGAACTGAACTCAGATCCTTCGTGAGAGAAGTTCATACTCTTCACCCTTGAGCTGTCTCTCAAGCCCCATGTGTATGGGTATTTTGCTTTGCCTACATGTATGTCTCTGCACCACATGTGTGCTGGTGTGTGGAGAAGCCAGAAGAGAGTGTTGGATCCCATGGGACTGCAGTTACGGACTGTTGTGAACTGCCCTGTGGGAATCAAACCCCAGTGCTCTGGAAGAGCAGCAAGTGCTCTCAATCACTGAGCTCATGTATGGTGTGCAGTGCATTGCTAGGGAACAGTGGGCAAAGGCAGTGGAGGATATGTACCTGCAATTTTTAAATTTTTTTATTTTTTTAAGATTTAGATCTCTGAGATTTTGAGACTGGTTTTACATTCTGTTGGTAGACGGCCTGCTTAGTATACACAGGACTCTGGAATCAGTTATCACTTGCATAAACTGGACTGAGGGTACACGCCTGTAATCCTAGCACTTGGGTAGTAGAGACAGGAGGGTCAGAAGTTCAAGGTCACCCTCAGCTACAGAGGAACTTTAGGTCAGCCTGGGATTTATGAGACTATTCACAAAAAAAAAGAAGAAAAATTTTGATTTTAAGTAGAGGAGAAGTTGGTAAAAATAGCTAGATTCAGGGTTTGAGAGATGGTTCAGAGGTTAAGAGCATTAACTACTCTTCCAGAGGTCCTGAGTTCAAGTCCAAGCACCCACATGGCAACTCACAACTATCAACAATGAGATCTGATATCCTCTTCTGGTCTGCAGGTAAACATGCAGACAGACCCCTGTATACATAATAAATAAACAAGTTTTAAAAAGAAACTTTTTAAAAAGGCCAGGCAGTAGTGACACATGTCTTTCATCCCACACTGGGGAGGCAGAGGCAGTAGGATATCTGTGAGTTCAAGGCCAGCCTGGTCTACAGAGTGAGTTCCAGGACCGTCAGGAATACAGAGAAAAACCCTGTCTGGAAAAAAAAAAAAAAAAGAGGCTAGATTCTTGTCTGGCATGTATGAATTCTCAGCAGTTTAGAGACTGATGCCAGAGAACCATGAGTTCTAGATCAACCAGGCTATATAGTGAGACTTTGTTTCCAAAACAGACAACTCTCAACAAAGTGAAATAGTCCCACTTAGCTTAAGCAGTGGGGTAAGAACCTAGAAATACAAGAAGCCATGTTCCTCATCAAATGACAGACAAGCAGAGTAGTGACAAGGACTCTTGATTATGTGTGAATGGTTGATAAATATGATATCTCCGTTTCTAAAAGATTGTTTTGTTTTTGTTTTTAATAGGCAGAAAAGATAGCATCTCAAATGATAACCGAAGGACGTATGAACGGATTTATTGACCAGATTGATGGAATAGTTCATTTTGAAAGTAAGAGGTTTTGTGCATTCTCATCATAGGGAAATGGCAATGAACTGATTAAGATGTGTTGAATTGTTTCTTTTGACCCAGAATTATATTACTCATGAGCTTATTTCCAAAAGAAATATTTTAAAATAATTTTGAAAGGCAGTATTTATGAATACATTTATCTCAACATTTCTAAGCTAAGAAAAAAATGAACTGAAATTGTATCAGCTCACTCACTTGTCACTTGATCTTTGTTGAACTCAAGCTCAGTGAGCTAGCTAATGTAGGCAGGAGGTAAGTGACCCCTGGAGTTCCCATTCCCACTTTCCACTCTTCACCTGTGAAGTTTTAATTGGGAGAGCTTGCTCAGCAGAGAGGCCGTGCTTGGCTGGCTCACTGAGATACATACACTTGTGTTACTCCGATCTCTTCTTGACCCATGAGAGCCCTAGTGAGTGTGCGACTTCTCCCTCTCTTTCTGACTAGATTGGATCCTGTGATCCCCTTGTTCAGTTCTGTGTTCGATGGTTCCCTAGAGTATTTAACTTGACTATTGGCCTTTTTAAAAAATTACTTTGATTTTTGAGATTATAAATACCCTCCCCCAAATCCTTTTTTATATATATATTTTATTTATTTATTATGTATACAATCTTCTGCCTGCATTCCAGAAGAAGGCATCAGAGCTCATTCAAGGTGGTTATAAGCCACCATGTGCTTGCTGGGAATTGAACTCAGGACCTTTGGAAGAACAGTCAGTGCTCTTAACTGATGAGCCATCTCTCCAGCCGCCCCAAATCCTTTCTTTCATATACCCTTCCTTGTTCTTTCAAGTTCATGGCTTCTTTTTCTCATTAATCGCTGTGATATGTGTATATGGAAATGCAGATACATATATATTCCTAAATATAACCTGCTCAGTGTGTATAGTGTTGTTTGTATGTATGTATGTTTTCAAGGCTGACCTTTGGGTAGTGGTTAACCAGTTGGTGTGTTCTTCCCTGTGGAGACTGGCTCTCCAGCCCTCACCACTCCTCAGTTGGCCCGTGAGGTGGACACCATTAGAACTTACTGATCTTTTATTCCAGCAAAACCCTTCTTTTCTTTAATGGATTCACATACTAGTTGGTGTCATTGGTGGAGAGGCAGGAGCCAGACAAATAGCACTTGTAAACTGAGGAAGTGTCCCTAGGGTCTCTTCCCTAGCTCTGCTCTTCACACCCTCACCAAAAAGAACTGTTTTAGAAGCCTGAAATTAACACTTGGTTTTCAGCTTTTAATTCTGCTGACTCCTTCCCACTGTACGTAAACACACTGCCTGAAACTCGCTGTGTAACCCAGGCAGGCCTCAGGCATGTGGAGCTCCTCCAGCTCAGCCTCCTGAGTGCAGAGATCACAGGTGTGTGCTGTCCTGCCTGCTTTAGGCTTCATCTCAGTTTTTTGTTTGCTTGTTTGATTGGTTTTGTTTTGGTTTTTGGTTTTTTGAGACAGGGTTTGTCTGTATTGTTTTGGAGGCTGTCCTGGAACTCACTCTGTAGACCAGGCTGGCTTCGAACTCAGAGATCCATCTGCTCCTGCCTCCCGGGTGCTGGGATTAAAGGCGTGCTCCGCTAATGCCTCAGCTCTTTAATAAAGCAATTATTGTTGATTACGTATCCCTTTGAGCACAGCCCGTGCCTCTGTCAGCTCTTCTGCTCCCTGGCCCTTTGCTTCTCTTGTGTTCCCTGCTAGCTTACCCTCGACACTGCTGTTACACAGCCTCTGGATTTTTCTCTCATCTGCAGTTCCTTTCTATTCTAGCTTTCCCAGTGTAGCCAGAGTGATTGTGGTGTTTAAGAAAGTGAAACCCTAAAGGGAGGGACGGAAAGTGATGCAACTCTATTTCAGTTAAAAACAGAAATAGGGGGAAAAAAAAGAAAAGAAAGGAAAGTTAGACTGAAAAGAAAAGATAGTCCAACAGTTAAGAGCACTTGCTGTTCTTACAGCTGACCCAGGTTCAGTTCCCAGCACCCACAAGGTGGCTCAGAACCACCTGCAACTCCAATTCCAGGTTACCCCCTCCCTCCCTCTCAAGATTTATTTTAATGTGAAGGGCATTTTGCCTTCACGTGTGTCTGTGTATTGTGTGCCTGGTGTCAGTGGAGGCCAGAAGAGGGCAGCCCTTACAACAGGACCTCCCTGTGGGTGCTGGGATTCAAAGCCAGGCCCTCTGGAAGAGCAGCTAATGCTCTCAACCGCTGAGCCATCCCAGTAGCCCCAAATAAAATGTAAAGATTGCAAAAATAAGGTAGAGAGCAATAGAAGACATCCTCCACTCACACTCTTGAGTGTGTAGTCCACACATGAACACACGTGTGAGCATGTCCTCATCATGCATCACACTCCAACAAAACTCTAGATAAAGCTGATGAAATGTGCAGTGTTTTAGTTCAGATAACAAGCGATAGCATGTTCAGAACAGGCTAAGCATAGCATGACAGGGGGGAGCTTGCAGTTCTTGCACTCCCCCCAGCCCCATCCCCTGGGCCCGAGGTAACGACTTGTCTCTCTGCCAGTCTTGTGTGTCTTCATGAACTTCAGAGCAGATTTGTAAGAAGTACCTTTCTCTAGAGGTAGGCGTGTGGGACTGTCTTAAAATGCAATCAGCTTCTCATTCATTGTCCTGTGGACACTTTCATGCCAGTAAGCACCAGTGTGATCTGTCTATAGCTCGCTTTTCACCACTTCTGAGTGGTTTTGTTGTGTACATGTCCATATGGTAGCATGCCTGTCTGTATACAGCAGTCTTGAAAGTAGCGTGTTGGTACTGGAGGGTGTGTGTGTGTCTGTCTGTCTGCCTGCCTGTCTGTCTGTCTGTCTGTCTGTCTGTCTGTCTGTCTGTCTGTGTCATTGATCTTAAAGTTTTTTTGTTTTCCAGAAAAGTTGGCCCTGGAAGGTTTCTCCAAAGTTAGAGAACATAGCTTTTTTTTTTTTTTTTTGAGACAGGGTTTCTCTGTGTAGTCCTGGCTGTCCAGGAATTTGCTTTGTAGACTATTCTGACCTTGACCTCTCAGAGATCTGCCTGTCTCTGCCCCCGAGTGCTGGGATTAAAGTATGTGCCACTATACCCACTTAATTTATTATTATTGTTACTATTTTGAGATAGTGTTTTTCTATGTAGCTGTCCTAGAACTCTGCTATGTAGATCAGGATGACCTTAAAGTTAAAGGGATCTACCTGACTCATGCCATCTTTTAAAGATTATTTTTATATGTATGGGTCTTCTACCTGCATGTATGTATATATGCCAGAAGAAGGTGTTGGGCCTCCTAGAACTGGAATTATAGATGGTTGTGAAATGCCTTGTGGGTGCTGGAAATTGAACCCAGGGATTCTGGAAGAGTATCCAGTATTCTCCCCGAACAGCTGAGCCATCTCTCCAGCCCCCATTTTGAACCCTTTTAAAATGCTGTTTTAAATGGGACTTCTTCCCAGATTTTCATTCCTAACTATATATTGCTCATTTTTTAACAGTTGTAGATTTAAGATAGTGTTTTGAGTAGATTTTGCTTTTATGTTCTTTTTCTGTTGTAGTTTTAGGCGAGGTAGGCACATTCTTGTTTGTAAATCCAGTGCCTTCCCAGTAGATGGCAGTGTCACCCACCAGTAAACACTGGTGAGGACCAAGCCCTAGAATGATGCTGTTCTGCAACTGTTTAGTGACTCTTTGTCTTGTAAGTGTTCAGTAGTGGGTTTTGTTTTCAAGGGCATTGATAGTAACATATTTGTTTTTATTATGTTTTATTCATTGTTTGTGATTTGAGTTTTGTTGCTGTTTTGTTTTCATTTTGTTTTGTTTTTCTGAGACAGTGTCACTTTGTAGAACAGACTAGCCAAAAACTCACAGAGATCTTGCCCACTTCTGCCTTCTGAGAGCTAGGATTAAAAACATGGGCCACGCTGGGCGTTGGTGACGCACGCCTTTAATCCCAGCACTCCGGAGGCAGAGGCAGGGGGATCTCTGTGAGTTCGAGACCAGCCTGGACTACCAAGCGAGTTCCAGGACAGCCTCCAAAGCCACAGAGAAACCCTGTCTCGAAAAAACAAAACGAAACAAAAAACAAAAAAAACATGGGCCACTCTGCTGACCTGATTTGAGTTCTTAACTCTTGCTTAGTTAGTATCTTCAGCCAATATTTTCAGAATAATTTTTTTATTAGAACTGTTGTAATGTATCTTTTTCCATTGCCACTCTGTCTTTAGCACGAGAAGCCCTGCCAACATGGGACAAGCAGATCCAGTCACTTTGTTTCCAAGTAAACAACCTTCTGGAGAAGATTAGTCAGACGGCCCCGGAGTGGACGGCACAGGCCATGGAGGCCCAGATGGCCCAGTGAGTCCTGGCTGAGCCCCCGCGCACGCTGCATCGTTGCCCTTCGTGCAGGTTGATTCGCTGCCCCTCCAAAGCATTTGCAACATGACCTTACACACTGCAGTCCTTCATGCCGAATCCCATTTAAAGAAGATGCTAGAGCAGGGAGTTCAGCGTGTAAGCATAGTAGTTCCCATATATTCTGGGTCTGTGCATTAAACCAACTCAGATACTTTGAAAGTTTGTTCTTTAAGCAGAAGTGAAAGCTCTGTGATGAAGTTTGGGATTTGTGATAACTTTGTAGTTATATAAACTTAAGTGCTTTGTGCCTCTCCAAATGTGGTTATTCTAATAAATGGGGCAATGAGCCAAATAAAGAGAACACTTCGTTTTTAATTACTTGAAAAGTGTTTTGTTCCTTTTCCTTGAATTTAGAAAATTTTAGCATATCTCTTATGGTTAAGAATACAAGAATAAGTTATAGTGCCTGTCCCTAAGCCTTCTGAGTGTGAAGCCAGGGGAGTAAGCTGAGCGCCTGGAATAGTACACCAGGAGGAGCTGGGGTCATTTCAACTGTGGTGACTGCAGAATGTGCAGAAAGGACTCTTTACAAAAGGAGTAGGTGGCTTACTTACCCCAACAATTAAAGAGCTTCAAAGCAACCCATCATGTATAACCTTTAGAACAAAAAAATTCCAGGTGGTTGAATCAGTGTCTTGTCTTGGATGCATTAGAAAACTGAAGTCACATGAACTACCCCTGAACCTGGACAGCTGGGTGGGGAGGAGGATTGTGTAAGTGACACTGCTGGAGCCAGTACTTACTTAGCATCTAAACAGAACTGACCTTCCTGCAGAGCGGATTCTCAGGTTACCATTGGAATTCTTTGTCTTTCAGCAGCCAGAAAGGGGGAGTTCTGTCATTGTTTTGAAATATACCTGGGGAACAGTAGCTTATTTTGAAATAATACCAAGTTATTTTCCATAAGACACACTTTACCTGTAAGGGAAATTACTTTGCCAGGACTTTGTCTGACTTAGAGAACTGATGCACAATTCCATCCTCCTTTAAATCTTTTGTTTCCTGCAGTTGTAGGAACAATAGATACTTCTGAAGGTCAAGCCCAGGGACTCGGGCTAAATAAGAACTAGACATACGGGCCAGAAAGATGGCTCAGCCAATAAAAGCAGTTGCCATGCAAGCCTGCCGATGTGAGTTCAACTCCTAAAGCCCACATGAAGATATAATGGCGTCCTTCTCTAGTTCAGCGCTACCATGATGAGCTGTGAGGCCAGACGGAGACAGTTCTGAAAAGCCAGCTAGCCTGGAGTATGCAGCATGACAAACCCAAGGGAGACCGTGTGGCAAAACAGGGCGGAAGTCAAGAACCAACTTAAAAAATTTGTCTTCTGGGGATGGAGATACAGCTCAGTGGTTAAGAGTACTCACTGGCTGTTCTTCCAGAGGACCCAGGTTCAATTCCCAGCCCCTTCCTGCTGGTTCACAACCATCTGTAACTCTAGTTACGAGGATCCATTCTCCTTTCTGGCTTCTGAACTACCAGGTGTGCAAGTGAGGCCTAGACATACATGCAAAACACCCATACACAAAAAATAAATTCTAAAAAAATTTTTTTAAAATTCCACATGTGAGTCATGGCACATGTCTGGCCCTATTCACACATCATACATAAACATGACCATAATATAGAGGGCTTCCCAAATATTACTATATCATCAGGGATACATTGAATTATGACTATCAGAGTGCAAGACATCTAAAGAAGGAATTCTGAGGGGCTCCCCCTCAGAACAAACAGGAAGACAAGGAAACCGCAGCCTCTTTCAGTTACAGCTATAGGGAACCGTCGGTCCAGTTCCTGCTCAGACTAGCACAAAACCTCTCAGCAAAAGCCTAATCACCTATAGCCTGGTACCTCATGCATCATGTCCAACTTCCAGCCAAACATTACCAAACTCGCTAAGAGATGAGAGCCATTGTAAGAGGTATGGCAGGCATCAGAACAAGACTTAATATATAATGAGGGGCTGTTGGAATTATCCGACTAGGAATTGAAAGCAACATTGATTAATAGCATGCTAAGGAAAAGTTGGCAACACATAAGAATAGATGGGTGTATAAGCAGGTTGAAACGAAGGATTGAAGTGTAAGAAATAAGCACGGAGAAAGAAATGAATACCTACTGTTGAGCTGGTCTTTATGCTGGGGGTTAAGAGCAGAAATAGTGAGCCCAGAGCCACGGAAGTTGTCCATAGTAGAACCTTCCTGAACTCAAGAGAAAATGGCAAGGGGGAGCTAGAAGCATATCTAAGGACTGTGGGGAAATTATGAAAGTTCACATATAATGACAATACCAGAAGAAAGGAAGAGAATACTTGAAGTAATGCCTAACAATGTTCCAAAGTTACCAAGTTATAGATGAGGAAGTCTAGAAACCCAAGTAGTATCAGATACAGAAACACATGCCTGTCTCAGCCCTTGGAAGGCTGACATGGGAGCATTTCAAGTTGGAGGCTAGCCCAGGTTACACAGCAAGACCTTGCTTCAAAAACAAAACAACAAAAGCATCAAGTAAGAGTTCTGGGTATAGCTCAGTGGTAAAGCCATCATGCATAGCATGCATTCGGGCTGAGTTCACTCTCCAGTTCCAGACAAACGTAGAAAAAAGTAACATGAGAAAATTGCCCATATGGTGGCTGACACCTCTAACCCAGCACTCTGGAGGCAGGGGTTCTCTGTGAGTTTCAGGTCAGTTGAGACTATATGAAAAGACCCTGTATCAAACAAAGCAAGAGCTCTGATTACAAACTGGGGACAGTACTCATTGTTTTTAACTCTGGGATATACGTATCACGTTTGAATTGCAGCAACCAAAGACAGGGAATATTGGAAAAGACAAACTACCTCACTGGAGAGGAAACATGAGTAAGAATCATATTGGCTTTCTCTTCAGAAATCACTCAAGAACAGAGCAGAAATATTTAAGGTATTGAAAGAAAAACCCAGCATAGATTTTTACACAACAAAAGTATACTTTAAAAGTGAAGAGAAAGATTGTAGCAATAAAAATGTATTTCTTTTTGCAGGGATGGGGGTGGGATCTGTCATACCAGAAATATCAAAAGAAATTCTAAGAGAAATAAAATAAGTGATGGGGGTTAAAAAAAATACTCAGATGTACATAAAGAAAGGAAAGAAATCAGGACCAGCCAATCATTTGCTGAAATGGTTATGCTGGTGCATGCCTGAAATCCCAGCATTAGGAGAACTGAGGCAGGAGGATCAAAAGTCCGGGGCCAGCTTGTTAGACCTTACATCAAAAACATTCGTAAAAATAAATGACACTGCTTGCTTAGCTCATTCAAAGTCCTGGGTTCAATTCTCAGCGCTACATAAAAGCTGGGTGTGGTGACATACTCCTGTAACTCCTACAGTCCAAAGCCTTCAGATCAGAGTTCTAGGTCATCCTCCGCTGTTTAGTTAGGAGGAGGCCTGCTAAGCTACAGGAAAACCAGTATCAAAAAGGTTTTTTTTTTCTTAAAGTTTTAATTTAGGACAGAGATACCTATCAGATCAAGTGTAAGTCAAACCCGACACCAGATGAATAACCACCACTACAACCAAGTGGCATTAAGTCAGGTAGGTATGGCTAGGCCAGCATTGGAAGCTGACTAATGTGATCCTCACCATGAGTGGGTACAGAAAAAGCACCTGATACAATCGAACTCATTCATGATTAAGAGTCAGGAAATTAGCAAGAGAAGTGGGCCACATCAACTTGGTAAAAGATGTAGACAAAAATGTATAGCTAATAGCACATTTAATAGCAAAAGACTGTCCATCCCCACACGTGACTGGAAACTTGGCAAAGGTGTCTACTGTTTGTTTGTTTTGTTTTGTTTTGTTGAGGCAGGGTTTCTCTGTGTAACCCTGGCTATTTGGGAACTTACTCTGAAGACCAAAGCTCTGGCCTCAAACTCAGAGATCCACTTGCCTCTGTCTCCAGAGTGCTGGGGTTAAAGGCCTGTGCTACCACTGCCCAGCAAGCTGGCTACTCTCAACACCCCATGTTTAACATTCATTCCATAATCTTTAGCTATATAATAAGAACAGAAAGAAATAAAGAGTTACATAAATTGTAAAGGAAGAAAAAAATGTTTCTTTTTGTTTGTTTTGGGAATTGACATGATTATTTGGTCAGAAACTCCAAAGGATCACCAAAACAGTGCACACTCAGAACATCCTAGTTCAATCTTGCGGGTTTTATTGCTCATATTGTAAGCCATGTGGTGGTCAGGGAAGGTGATCTCACACGTCACTGCTGGTTAAGAGAAACAAGACTGTGTGCCAGCCCTGTCTGTGGATGCAGTGGTGAGGCCTAAGCAGTCGGTTGGAATTAGGTTCGTTTACACAAACAGATGACTTCCAATGGTATTCAAGAAAAACCCGCCTGGCACTAACAGCTGGAGTTGTGAAAACTCAGAGGAGAGGCAGTGAGGTCTGTGACTCTTGGCAGCTCTTCCTCCTTGGCCCGGGTCTTAGGAAATGTGGGTGTTGGAGCCCCTGTGTAATATGGGGGGCAGTGACAGCTGGGTGGTGACTTTATGCAGGGGCATTCGGTGTGAAAGGGGACAGTAGAGTCCCACGAAGCACTCTGCTCCGTGAGTGGGAAAGGAAGGACCTAAGCACTGGTGATTGTTGTCTATGAAATCGGTGCTGGGGCCTGGAGAGATGCTTCATCGGTTAAAAGCTCGGGCTGCTCTTGTAGGGGACTCAGGTTCAAGTCCCAGTGCCCACACGGCAGCCCACAAATGTCTGTAACTCCAGTTCCAGGGTTCTGATGTCCTCACACAAATACAAATGCAGGCAAAATGCTGGTGCACATGAAAAAAATTAATTAAAAAATAAAGAAATGCCAGTGCCTTGATTTTATCTTGCTGAAGTTTCACAATAAATCTACTTGGTAGATGGCCTCATCATCCTCCTTGACCCTAACAAATGAAGTGAACTCAAGCCTTGAGTGACTTGTGGGAATTCTCAAATAAGATTCAGGACAGAATTAAGTAGGATAAAAAATGGTTTTAAAAAATTGTCTCATATATTTGTCCATCAATATTTAACCAAAACTGAGTCATTGCCTTTGACAATGACAATTTTATTACTATGGTTATAGAAATTATATGCTTTCCCAGTGAGCCATCACTCAATGCTCTCAAGAAAGTAAAGAGACAGTCCTTTATTAAAATGTGCGCTGCCTGCGGCTAACATCCAAATACCAGCTGGCCTCCATAGCCAACGTAACTGTTATACACCCTACATTCACTGTCGTCCTTCAGTCTCTTGTTTTTTCTTTCTTTTATTTTCTTTTGTCCTCACCCTGGGTTATGTTTTGAGTAATCTAAACAGGGACAGAAGAATGTGAGTTCGGTTGCTTGGGCAGATGGGAGATTTTCATAGCATAGACATTGCCGGGATTATTTATTATTTCTTAAGTGCACCAGTGTGGTCCTTTCCAAATAGTTGTGACCCAGGTTCAGCATGCCCACCTGGCAGGATTATGTTCTCCAGAGAAGAGTACAGGGAACTTAATGGCTATCAGGACTTAATGGTGGTTGTGACCCTGGGTTGCCCCTTGAACTGCCATTTAGAGGCAGGTTCACAGGGGATAGGCCTAATGGCTGACAGATAAAGGCTGGTGAACAAATATTTATGTCCTTGCATCATAAATTTTGCTTATCTGTAACAGGCCTGGTTAACATACTGGTTACCTATGAGGTATTTGGGGGGCATCTCTCCTTTAACTAAAGTCTACTTTGTGTGATTTAATGTCTCCTAAGCAAATGTATTGGTAAATCCTTTATAACGTCAATTTTATTACTTTTGAATTTCTCCGACATCACTACCTTGTATTTAAAAATATATAATACCACAGACCTCTCAAACATTCATCCAGAAGCCAGACCTGGGTGATGTGGAATAATTTTTTCATACACTGTAAAGATATGTCTTTGCCAAGGTGCCTTTTGATTGGTTTAATAGGCAGAGAGGGTAGGCAGGACTTCTGGGCAGAGAGAGAGAGGAAGAGATGAATCTAGGAGCAGGAGAGACAGCAAAAGACACGGACAGGATACAGGAGATGCAAGGTGGAAGAGAGGTAAAAAAACCAAGAGGCAAAATGTAGATTAATATAAATGGGTTAATTTAAGTTATAAGAGCTAGTGGGGCAAACCTAAGCTGTAAGTCTCCGTGTCATGTTCTGTGCGCTGACGGCCCAAAGGAAAGTCTGACCACAGCTGGGGTGTTCACTGCAGAAAGTCTTGCTTTGTCAGTAATACGCTGACATAAGTAACAGGGAAGGAAAGTGTCTCAGAACAGCTCCTTAGCTATAGCTTGTGGCTTCCCCACTCCACCTCAAGCTTCATGGATCTAAGTGCTATTGATGAAAGTCCAGGCACTTAAGAACTGCCAGGGGTGGGAGGGGGACTGGGTGGTGGTGGTCTGAAGAGACAGAATCCTTAATTGGTGTCACAAGCATTTGAGTGAAGGCAAAGACGCATACAGAATGTAGGTAAGGGCTAAAGGTGTGGCTTCCGGGTGTAGCAGTTACTTAGCACCTACAAGGCCGTAACTTTAACCTCCAGTGCCTCACGCAAAACAAAGCAATCCTCTTAGTAAAATCTTTTATTTCGTTTGTGTTTAAAGTGTAAAAAAAAAAGTATAAGATGGAATATTTGCTGATAAGGGAGCAAGGAGAAACCAAGTCAAAGAACAATATCCATTTAAAATAAATCAAGAAGTCGGATTTCTAAAATGCCATGTAATTATCTTGTCACCCATCGCATCTCAGTTGCTAGAGATTTGGAGAGACTCAGAGCTGGGAGAGCTGGGGTCTGTGTTCAGCTGCTTCAGCGAGAGCTCTCACCTGTGAGGGAAGCAAGAATCACTTGTGAATTTCTTAATCCACTTTTTTGTTTCTTAATAAACATTAATTTGCACAGTCATCTTGGAAACACTGAGAGGTTACACAGATAGTACCGAGTTCCCAGACACTCTGTGCCCCGCCCGTTTCCCTGTTAACATCAGGTGTTAGTGTGGAGGGTTACCACAGCTGATGGCCAACATCAGCACGTTGTTAACCAGCGTGGGTTTGATTCAGACTCGATTCAGATTCCTCGCATTTCACCAGGCTTCCCTTTCCATTCTGGGATCCTGTCCAAGCACTGAACTGCACTGGGTTCTTGTATTTCTTTTTTTTTTTTTTTTTTTTTTTTTTTTTGGTTTTTCGAGACAGGGTTTCTCTGTGGTTTTGGAGGCTGTCCTGGAACTCACTTGGTAGTCCAGGCTGGTCTCGAACTCACAGAGATCCGCCTGCCTCTGCCTCCCGAGTGCTGGGATTAAAGGCGTGTGCCACCAACGCCCGGCTGGGTTCTTGTATTTCATAGGTTCCTCTCGCCTAATAGTGTATCAGACTTCCCTTACTTGCTTTTTACATTTTTAAATTATTTCATGTGTATGATTATTTTACCCATGTGCTTGTGTGTGTACATGTGTGGCTAGTTGTGCCCCAGTGCAGAAGAAAGCATCAAATTCCCTGGAACTCACAGAGATCCGCTTGCCTTTGCCTCCCACATGCTGGGATTAAAACCGCACACTGGCGCCACCACCTCCTGGCTAGCAAATGGATTTTTACATCACATATAACCCAAATTTATATAAATTCTCACCTTATAATTGTTTATCTGTTTCACCACATTGTCTTAGTACGAAGTATGTCTTTGGCTTCTTTTTTGTCTTTTCAGTTTTTTTTTTTAGATTTTTATTTATTACTATGTATACAGTGTTTTCTGTCTGCATGCCAGTCAGAGGAGGGCACCAGATTTCATTATAGATGGTTGTGAGCTATCATGTGGTTGCTGGGAATTGAACTCAGGCCCTCCGGAAGAGCAGTCAGTACTCTTAACCTCTGAGCCATCTCTCCAGTCCCTGTCTTTTCAGTTTTAAAAACACTCTTTCTTTCTATTTCCCTCTGTGTGTGTGTGTGTGTGTGTGTGTGTGTGTGTGTGTGTGTGTGTGTGTGTACGTACTTGTAGGTATGTTTACCTATGCAAGGGGCCAGGCTGACATTGAAATATCTTTCCTCCATCACTTCTCCACTCTCGTTTTGCAGACAAGAGCTTACTAGCCTGAAGCTTGCCCTTTAGCTAGACTTGCTAGCCAGTGGGCCCCAGGGGTCCATGGTTTCTGCCCCCTATACTATAGACTGCTGTGCCCAGCTTCCACCCACACCCACACCCACCCACCCACCCACACCCACACCCACACCCACACCTACACACACCCACACACACTCACACACTCACACACACACACCCACACACCCACACGCATGCACGCACGCACACACCCCCCACACACACACCCACGCGCGCGCGCGCACACACACACACACACACACACACACACACACACACACACACACACACACACACGCTGTTTCTGGGCATCCAAACTCTGCTCCTTGTGCTTACACAGCAAGCACTTGACACAGTGAACCATAACCCCACCCCTCGTTTTCTGAGACCCTTCTTAGCCTGTCATAGCTTCTTAGCCCTGACTAGCCTGGAACTTACATAAACCAGGTTGGGTTTGAGGGTTACATGATACACCACCATGCCCAACTTCAACCTCTTTTGTTTACTGTACTCTGGTAGCTAATAAGTAGTAAGCTGCTTCATTAATATACCAAAATAATCCCAGTAACTTTATAAAAATTCACCAATACTAAAATATGCCTCCAAGTAAGTTGAAATCAAAAGCAATTATATTATATTATAATGAGATAGCTCTTTGGGAGACTTAAGGAATTGCCATTTTGAGTTTTACTCCCAACAATGAATAGTTTCCCCAGTCCCTAATTCTGTTTCCCAAGCCCACAGTGACTCACCATCCAGCGCCTTAGAAAGCATTCATGGCTCTCCTCCGGTTAATGTCTCTCTTGATTTGGCACACAGAGCAAACAGGACAGAAGATGGTGGTCACATAGTCATCACAAAGAGACCCCTGTGAAAGACAGGAGGACATGTGAATGTATGCCCTGCTGCTTGTGGATTTTCTCAAGGCATTTTAAAGAGAACCAAAAGCTCTAACTCTTTGGATCCAGTTTACTTCCTTTCTTTTTATGATTTATTTCATGTATGTGTGTGTGCACGTGCCTGTGCATGTATCTGTGTGTGTGTCTGTGTGTACCCAAGCACAGAGGTCAGAGGGAAACCTTCAGGAGTCATTTCTCTCCTCCCACCATGTGGGTCCCGGTCTTCCAGTTTGACAGGGAGTACTTTTATCTGCTGAGCCATCTCATTGGCCCTGGATTCGGTTTAGATGGATACCTCCAGGAAAACCCTAGCTGACTTTTCCATAGGACACTTGCCTCTCCATTCTAGTACCTTATAATTCTCAGAATATAAGATTCAATCAAACTACCAAGTCCAAGGACACAATAAAGAGACTTAGGAAGTCAGATCTCACAACTGGGAAGCCAGTGGCTCAAAGTCATTAGAGTGGAGGAAACACACGGGACACACGATGCAGTGAATATTTTGGGAAGAGAATTAGGGAAGTGGCAGACAATTTGGGGTCACAGTACTCCTACGTACTAATAGAAAAGTAAACGTTTGACAGGAAATGCAACCACATCCACTATAGGACATTGACTGTGATGCTGATGAGGAAACACTGGGGTCAAATAGAAAACCTAGACACGGAACTATCCAAAGGTACAGAGCTGTGTGGGAGGGAGTGGGGAGTGTTTACCCGGAAGGGACACAGGACTAAAGAGCCTGCGTCTCTGTGTGGTCCATAGGTAAAGCCCACATTGAGAAGTGATAAGTCAAAGGAAAAGGAGAAGGAGGAGTAGGAGGAGTAGGAGGAGGAGGAGGAGGAGGAGGAGGAGGAGGAGAAGGAGAAGAGGAAGAAGAGGAAGAAGAGGAAGAAGAGGAAGAAGAAGAAGACTGTCTGCAGAGGGCCGAATAGGTGAAGGAAGTTAGGAAATGGCTTTCTTGACGATGTATAAAATGAGATCATTTCCAGAACAGTTTGCTTCAGGGTTTTCCTGCATTAAAAAAGAAAGCCTCGCTAGGAAACGGGCTGCTGGCCTTCAGTAAGCCCAAGAATCCTGAGCAGTTTGAGTACAGGTCAGTGGAGGAGAAAGTCTAGCAGAGTGGCGGAACCTGCAAGCTGACAGCTGTGGGGAAGGAGCCGGGACAGGGCACTAGACCCTCAAGCTGAGCAGCCAGGGGCAGGGAGGTGCGAAGCAGGCCCAACCACTCCGGTACCTTCTCCTGGGACGGCCTAACCCAGGGCCTCCTCGGTGGGTCTCCAGGAAAGGCACGTCAGAAAACAGTAGGCAGTGTCCTACATATTAGATCACTAGCTCACAGGGTATGTACACACGGAGAGATCCTGCCTGACATTCCTCCAAGACTGTCAGTTCATACACCACCAGCATTTACACCAGTGTATTTCTGTGAGTTTCAGGGATAGAAACATTCTACAGAGGATGCATACATGTCATCACTCATTACCAAGCAGTAGACTTGACTATTAAAGGTTCACCTCTCACCTTTTACTTCATATATTTCTGTTTAAATTTGTTAGATATTTTAACATTGCTTTCTTTCTTTCTTTCTTTCTTTCTTTCTTTTTGGTTTTTCAAGACAGAGTTTCTCTGTGTTGTTTTGGAGGCTGTCCTGGAGCTCACTCTGTAGACCAGGCTGGCCTCGAACTCACAAAGATCCACCTGCCTCTGCCTCCCGAGTGCTAGGATTAAAGGCGTGCACCACCAACGCCTGGCTTTAACATTGCTTTCTAATAAAAGAAAATGAATTAAATCCTCAGGTGAATAATTTCAATGAAAATAAATCAGGTTCCTAGGAAATGTTGCACATTTGTTTGTTCCCCATGATGGTTAAGTTTATGTGTTACCTTGTCTGTGCCATAGCTGAATGCAAGTGTTTGGTTCAACATTATTCTAGATGCTTTTTGAAGATATATTTAAGATAAAGTTAGCATTTAATGCAATAGACTTGGGATATATTGGATCATTTCACATAACGTAGCTGGACTTCGCTTCCAATTTGTGAATACCTTTTTATAATTAGGGCCTGATTAGACCACGGACCCACTGGGTTCCATTGGTCCTCACCTTCCCAGTGCTGGGATTGAACTCAGGCTCACAAGGTAAGCACTCTACTGACTGAGCTCTCTTCAGCTCTGTTCCTCCTCCCTTCCCTTCCTTCTGACAGGATACACCGTGTTGTTCAGGCTGGTGTCAAACTCCCAACCTCCTACCTCAACTTCCCAAGTCCTAAGATTACAGGTGTGTGTGTGCTACCGTGCTCAGCTGGTTGAAGACATTGGAGGAAGAAGAGGAGGAGGAGATGGATTTCCCTTGAAAAAGGAAGAATCCTGCTGGTAAACTGCCTGTGGACTTGGTCTTCAATTCATCTATGAGTATCTAGCTTGACAGCCTACCCTTCAAGTTTTGGACTTACTGGTTTCCATCATTGCATGACTTTAAAATAAATGCCTCTCTCTTTCTCTCTATAACTTTCTTTTTGTTTGTTTGTTTTAAGACAGGGTTTCTCTGTGTAGCCCTGGCTGTCCTGGAACTCGAGCTGTAGACCAGACGGGTCTTGAACTCAGATCCTCCTGCCTCTGCATCCTGAGTGCTGGGATTAAAGGACTGCACAACCACCATTCGACTTTTTCTTTATCTCTTTCTCTGTCTCTATTTCTTTCTATATACATGAAGAGGGAGGCAAATACTCACACATATACAATGCACATTCCTATATGACATATAGAAATATGTGTACATACACATATGCACACACATCTAATCACCCTATTGCCTGTTTATTTGTGTAATTGATTAAAATGCTACCCCCTTTTCATACAGTGATATAGGAGTAATGGAAAGTTCATACACAAACAGTTTGGATTGGACATCGTCTCTCTCTTTATCTCTGATACTGGGGCACACTTCTGGCTCAAAGGCTCTGCTTCTACAGACTCTGATGTGTTCATTGATAAAATACAGGGGCGCCTCTCCCACAATACACACAGACATCACAAGGATGGTGGAGAGTTCAGGCACCTCAAGTTCAGTAGGTTCTAGATAATCCTCTATTGTATTACAGGTTGCAAATATGAATTACTGGCTTTCTAGGATATTCAGAGGGTACACGAGGAGAGGAACTACTGCTGTGTCAACTGAATTTAAGGTTGTACATGCTACAAAGCTCTAGCCAATCAAACTCAGAGCCTGGATACCATCAAATGGCAGCCACTCCTATGGTAAATTCGGTTGCAGACTGGAATGATAAAAGGTGACTCACAGGAATGCCATATCGGGTTCTGTAGAGAGTCCTCATTGCCACTGTTGTCCCACACAAACAGCATTCATTCATGTCGGCTGCCACTTGACACCCAAGACATGTAAAGCAAAACGTCCCACAGAGGCCTGGAAACACAAAAGCCGGGTACACGTTACTCCAGTCTGCCCCCATCAGCTACACCAAGAGCAGCCACATCAGTGAGGCCTTTCCCAACTCTGCTGCCAAGCTCCTCTTCATTGTTTATGCCCCCACGGTCCACCCTCCCCTTCAAGAGTGACTGCACATGGAAAAGACCTAGCTCTTTTTGCAATAGAGACACTTGTGTCAATTACTGAAAGGTACCCATGTTCCGGGTAAAGTTCTCGGTACTAACAATGCTCCCAACTGAATCCAACAGGGATACGAGAGCAATGAATGTCCGCTGGAGAGCCGGGCTCACTTCAGACCGGAACCTCTAAGGCCCTGAGTAGGAAGTACCACCTGAGCTGGATCGTGAAGCGTGGCCAGAAAATTTTCAAACGAACTAAAGCTAACCAAGTCTCTTTGAGATAATTTGTCATATCCATTCACTGTGGCCAAGGTCCTGGGATAGGCTGGGGATGAAGGTAGGAGTGACATAGGGTGTGTGTGTGTGGGGGTAAGGACAAATTAGAACATATTCATGCATGCCATCAAGGCCAGGAAGAACCACCAGATATTTTGTAAGTCGAGAATGATTTGGTCAGATCTGCATTTAAGAAAACCTTCCATAAACCAGGTGGTGATGGTGGTGCACAGTTTTAATTTCAGTACTGGAGAGGTAGAGGCAGAAGAATCTCTGAGTTCAAGGCCAACCTGCTTTACAGTTCAAGTTCCAGGAAAGCCAGGGTATTCCACAGAGAAACCCTGTCTTGAAAAACCAAATAAAAGAAAAGAGAGGAAAGAAAAGAGAAATCTGCCACAAAACAAGAAGCTCCCCCCACCTTTTAAAATTACATTTTATTGAATGTGTTTGTGTGTGCACACAAGTGTGAAGGTCAGAGGATAATTTTTAGGAGTTGGTCCTCTCCTTCGGCCTTGTGGGTCCTGGGGCTGAAACTCAGGCTGTTAGGTTTGACCACAGGCACTTTTCCCACTGAGTCATCTTGACAGCCCCACATTAAAATTCGAGTATCCAAGTAAATGTACATTCAAATAACTGAGTAATAACTTGGAGCTGGACAATCAAACATTAATGTCTAAGGAATTTTCCTTGTAAGTCTTTATTATCACTCTGATTAGCAAATGTCAAAACAACGTCATAAGACATGTTAGGCAGCCCTGTTACCTAGTAAGTCAAGGAGAGCTGGTGAAGAGGTTTGCATGTAATTCTTTGTGTTTGTGTTCTCCGTGTAATTATTAGCGTCACTCAGTTTCAAGTTTCATCCCATTACAAGTTAAAGCGTGTGTGTTTCTTTACCATTCTCAGGAACAGGTTTCAAAGCAAGCCTTTTGTTCCTGGTTTGCTGAGAACAAAGTCTCTGGCCCCCTTTGCCACCCCACCTCACTTTCTTTCAAGTTCACTTAGAGAGGAGAGAGAGACAGGGAGAGAGAGAGAGAGGGAGAGAGGGAGAGAGAGAGAGAGAGAGAGAGAGAGAAAGAGAGAGACTTAACTGTACATATTACAACAGTTCTCTGATGGTGTGCTAAAATGTGTCCTATGATGGGACAGAATGTAACTATAAAACAAGATTCTATGTGTGTAACCAAGAAGAGATTTTGTTGATGTTGCTTTTTTTTTTAATCCCAGCACTCAGGAGGCAGAGGGAGAGGCATCCATGTGAGTTTGAGGCCAGCTTGGTCTACATAGAGTTCCAGGACAGGGCTACACAGAGAAACCCTGTCTCAAAAATAACAACAACAAAAAATCAGATTTAAGTAAAAATATTTCATTTACATATAATCTGTTTATAATTATTAGGCCAAGCTCATTCAGTTTTAGAATCATTTAAGACTTCCAATATTACCTTAACTCTAGGATTTATTTTAGGGGTAGCGTGATTGTTTTCGATGGACAGGAGGAGAGTCAGCTATAATCAGTAAACTGTCTTTGATGTTGACTTTACTGCTCCAGGATGCCCAGGAGTCTATAAAAAGCTACTTTCAACACAGTAAGGGAGGAACAGGACACTGTATCAAATATAGGGGCACCTTCCCAGCACTTACAGACTCCGCAGTCGTTGAAGCAATCACACAGGCTTGTCTGCCAGTTGGAATTTTGGGGAGCACGAACAAATCCAGGTTGAGTCACGATGACTGTTGGTGCCTGAGCCATCTCAAAAGCCCTGGTCTGAAAAAGAAAATGTTGGCGTGTACAGCTTGGAGCTGCTGTGGGAAGGCGCTGTATTCTGCTCCTAGGCTAGAACTGGCTTGGAGAATCAGCTTGTTGATCTCTAAGAGAATTGCAGTCTCCTCCTCAGAGGGACATATGCCCCAGGGGAAAGAGTTCACTGAACTGGTACGTCGAACAGATGCTTCTCATGGGCAAACTCAGTGAAAGCGGGTTCATCTATTTTTAGACGGGTACCTGCTGTCCAGGAGTGGGAAACAATCGACCGGCCCATGGCATAACCAGAGAAAGCAACCTTTTCTCAAGTGGAACAGCCTAAGCCTAGTGCACCCTCCCCCCTTGCCCCCCTGCTCTGCCTCTTCCGGTTTGACAGCTCCTCCTGAATCCACTGCTCCATCACTTCAAAGTTCCCAGAACCGGCACCTGTGTCGGTGCTGCTGACACCGGCAGGTTGCTCTCCGTGTTGTTTTGCAGCGGGGGTGGGGGGGGGTGGGGGGGGGGGGGGGATAGGGGGTGGGGGTAGGGGGTGGGGTGTGTGTGATTCTGGCGTCAGCAACACCCAACCTTTAGCACTAAAGCTTGCTCACAACAATCTTCAGGCAACAGTTGTATAGATTTGCTGGAGGGCAAGCGCCTCAGATGAGAACAGCTTGTGGTATTCACGAAGCGCTCTGTTAAGTAATGTGATTGTGACTGGGTTAACTTGGAAAGTGCAAATGGTGAGGGCCCTATGAGGCTTCTGAGCACAATGGTGAAAGACCCAAAGATAAGCAAAACTTCAAGCCAGGTAAGCACATGCCTGTAGCCCCAGGCACCTGGGGAACCAAGGCAGGAAGATCACTAGTGCCCAGTTCTAGACCGGCCTGAGCCATGTAGCAAGATCTTGTCTAAAACAAAAGCAAAAAAGTTTACAAATCATAGGGACATGTGCCAGGGCTCAGAAGCCACCAGGCAAACTGGTTTATGAGCACACAGACACACAGATACGATAGAGGTATACAAAGACAATGTTCTGATTACTCCACCAAGAGGGTACACCTAGTGCCCAAATACTGATTATCAAATACCACTGTTCAATAAAAAGAACAGGGTTTACTAGCGGGTGACTCCAGGGTTGGGGAAGGGGAAGCCAAAGATGAACCTGGCAAGTGTGGGGTTAACAAAAAATGAGACCCCAAGAGTAGATCTAATCAGATGAACCCCTGCTGAGTGTAGGAGACTCCTGAGGTAATTTGATGGCCAGACTTAGGAGAATGAGCAAAATGTAATGTTATGGTTAGATTATAACTCTCTCTCTCTCTCTCTCTCTCTTTGTTATCTGTGTCATATTTACATAATGCTAGTATAAATAAATAAACAAGATTTTAATGGAGAAAAAGGATGGTACTTTCTTCCTTAAAAAGTTCCCATTAGTGTAGAAGGAATAACAGAAATATAAGACTGTCACTTGGCATACACTATAGTACTAACTGCTGAAGGCAAGACTGATGGGTGGAGTCTGTAATATTACCAAGGTTATTTTTCATTTTTACCTAGGGTTCCTGGCTTATTATTCATTCCCCAAAGCAAGCCATCAAATAGAGACTGGAATTTCACTACCCCAAAGTCAAAGAAACTAATCTTTCCCATCTTGGAGTTGGCCGTATAGACGTTTTCCTATCTCCTCTGTCAGACAGCTAATCACACATGTCCATTGGATGATCTGGCCCATGAGGAAGCAACGCTGAAGAAGCTGGCCAGATGGGGCGTTATACTTCCCCACCCAGTTTGTGAGGCACTGGTGGCCATGCAGTGACATCCCTACAAATGCCCAAAGGACAGAGTTTGAAGAGGGCTGTAAATGTGGCTCAGCAGATAGAGTGCTTGCTTAGTATACAAGAAGCTCTGGGTTCCACCCCAGCACTGTAGAAAACTCTGCATGCAACACATTCCAGTAATCCCAGGACTCAGGAAACAGAGGCAGGAGGATCAGAAGTTGAGAACCATCCGCTAAGTAGTGAGTTTGAGGACACCTGGACTACAGGAGACCCTGTTTCATAACAGCAGCAGCAAGAAGTCTACTTGAGTCTGGAGTAGTAGGTAGCACATACACATGAAATTCAGGCTGAGGCAGGAGGATTGTGACTTTGAAGCCAGGCAGTGCTACATAGAGAGACTATGTAAATCCAAAGCAAATGCAACTAAGTAGCAAGAATAAACAACTCCACACAAGACTACTGGCAGCCAAATAAGTACATTGACTTGCTCAAGGGAGAAGGCACACAGTGGGGAACTGTGGCCTGTCAGGAAGAGTCCTTGGAAAGCCTTCTTAGAGCAGGCAGGCTGCAAGGGACTGGTTTGGAAGAGGAACCAGGAAATAGAGATGCCACCAGAAGGTGAGGGGCAATTTATGGTGATGCACACTCATTTGTTAAGAAGGGCTCACTGGGGAGCAGCAGTTTTACTGCTGGGGAAAGTTAAATGAACCTCTTCCTTTTGCTTTTGCTTTCAGTTCATTTTAGAAATTCACTAATGTGGAGGACACACAGCTGGTTCCTCACTAGTTTTGCTGTTGACGACATGTCTGACTGAAACCATCCAACAAGTTCAAGGTGGTGAAAGGCTGGGTTTTACTATCTTGTCCTGGGACTTTTGCCTTCGGGGTACCTTCCTCTAAAAGTATTTTCTTCATTTTCTTCCTTTCCTTTCCTCTCCCCTTCCTTCCTTCCTTTCTTAATTCCTTGTGCAATTTCTTTAGTTCATGTTCCTATGCACACCCCCCCCCGTGTGTGTGTGTGTGTGTGTGTGTGTGTGTGTGTGAGAGAGAGAGAGAGAGAGAGAGAGAGAGAGAGAGAGAGAGAGAGAGAGAGAGAGAGAGAGAGAGAGAGAGAGAGAGAGAGTTAGTTTCACTCACAGGAACATGGGCAACTAGCCAGTGACCACACCAGTGAAGAAAAAAATGTCTCTGTCTCCTAGCAACCTGAACAATGCCCCTTGTACCTAATGATTAACTGCAAAACTAGCTATTCCAGGAAAGGGGCTAACACTGTGTCATAAGACATGCTAATCTAAACTTCCTTTGGATTTGTGGAGCCCAGACGGTCTAATGACCTATAAATAACAGTAGATGTCTGACCAGAAAAACAGCCCACCTGAAATTTATAACTACCATGGGCCACACCTGGTGTACTGCTCCAGAGATCTCTGCGTGAGCCTTGCCTCTGCAGCCCTATGAGCTTTTCTCTTTCCTTCTTTTCTTTTTTGAAGTGGGGTCTCATATAGTTTAAGCTCTCCTCAAACTTTTTGTAACCAAGGATAATCTTGAACTCCGGACCTCTTGTCTCACCCAGGGCCAGAGACTGAATGCAGGGTCTCCTGCTTTGCTAGGCAAGGGCGATAGCAACTGAGCACCATAACCTGCCTTTCTACTTTTGTTTTTGCTTTTTACTGAAGCGTCCATCTTCCAGCTTTTTGAAGTGTCTTTGCAGGATGGACAGCTGCTTCCTAAATTTATTTCATCAGTTTCAGAAAAAGAAAATAAAGACATTGCAATAATTCAATTTTGTTGCTGACCCTTTTCACAACTAATGAACCCACGTTTTGTGAGCAGCGCTTACTAAAAAAGACTTGGAAAATGGCAGGCACCTGGAAGGGGTTTCACTAACTTCAGCTAGGAAGTTCTCTCCTTCCCCATCTGCTGGGACAGTGCTTAATGTCCTCATAGAGGGCACATTTCACCCGTTGATGAGTGGGCGGACCCTAAGCCCCTCACAATGGTGAGGTCCAGCTTCCCAGGACTGTGCAGACCTCCCCACACAAGTCCCTCAGAGCTTCCCTTCATCCCAAACTCCAACACTATAATGTCAGAAATCAGAGACTCGAGGATTGCTTACCACAATGCATTCGACAGCAAAGCATTTTAGAAAATAGAAAAGCATGTGTATTCAAATTTATTTTGCATTGCCTTTGAATATTCAAATGCCAGAAAAATATGAAAGAACAGTCAGTAATACTGGGTGGTGACTTCAGGGTGAGCTGCTGATATTTTTTCCCTTTTATCTTCATTACTCATTTATTTTTGTTTTTCAAGACAGAATTTTTCTTATAATAGTCCTGGTTGTCCTAAAACTAGCTCTGTAAACCAGGCTGGCCTAGAACTCACAGAGATCCGCCTGTCTCTACCTCCTGAGTGCTGGGATTGAAGAGATGTGTCACCACCGCCTGGCTCCATTTATTCCTTTTATAATGAAATCTTGGCATAGCTTTTTTTACCCTTCAAGAAAAATCAAATTGGCAGCTAACAACTTTAAGGGGAGGAAGGCAGTCATCTACAGCTGTAGTTTTGCTCCTGGGCTCGTCAGTGTCCACCACACCGCTGGCATCAGGTAAGTGACAGCAGAGTGAGCGAGGGAACATATGTCGGCTCTCCTTTTCAGAGAAAAATTATATTCCTTTAACTCACTTCTTTTCCAGGAAGGTTACATTGCGATTATAAAGGACAGTGGACATCTGGAGGTCCGGGAGAAAACTGCTGTCCTGTGACTCTATAATTGTCCCTTTCCTGGCAACCCTCACTCGGCGTATTGCAGGTATATGTGTATTTACATTGGGTTGGACTTTACAGCCGCTTGCGACCTGAACACTGGCTTCTAAAGCCCACGGCAATCTGCATCTGAGGCGAAGAGATGCACGTGGATGTCTATCTGCTCATTGCTGGGTCATTAGCAAAAATCTGTTCTTTTCTCTACTAGTGGCCAAAACAGTCTTCAGTCTAAGTTGTATGTTGCTAGCCAAGGTGGTGGTGGCTCTAATCCTAGCACCTGGAAGGTGGAGGCAGGAGAAAAAAAATATAATATTTTAAACCAAAAAGTATATGATCATAATAACCATAACAAAACCTCATATATTTTTTATTTTTTTAAAATTATTTATTTATGTATTTATTTTCTTAATGCATGAGTATTCTGTCTGCATGTCTGCCTACACACCATAAGAGGGCGTTGGATCCCATTATAGATGGTTGTGAGCCACCATGTGCCTGCTGGGAATTGAACTCAGCACCAAGTGCTCTTAACCACTGAACCATCTCTCCAGCCTCTCTTTTTTATTTTTTTAAACCCCAGGAGAAATTTGAAAACATATATAATGTGCCGTACACATATGGAAATTATTTTCAGTCTTTTTGGTATTGAAAACGTTTTTTTATTTCTAATACAGACAAAAATCAAATTACAAGTTAAATAATAAATTAAAATGTTGCATGTTTCTTTCATAGATTTCTCTCCCTCCCTCCCTCCCTCTTTTCCTCCCTTTATCTCTCCCTGTCTCTCTCTGTGGTACTGGGGATTGAACAGAAGGCTTCCTGTGTGTTAGGCAGGTGCACTCTGTGCCCAGATCATTTCCTCTTTTGAAGGTGGGAAACTGTGGGGGTGGGGAACCGAAGCCAAGCAAGGGTGAGGGGGCTGGAGATGGGGTAAGAGGTTTATGAATACCAAGATACCCTCCGGGCCTTGAAGGTTGCCTATCTATGACTGTTGGGTAGGATCTCTGCCCAGTACTGCATAAAAGAGCATTCCTAGAGGGAACTAGCAGCCAAGACTGCCATTTGCCACCTTCAGCTTACTTTGAAGAGCGTCTTATACTGTCTAACTCGTGGTTTCTTATAGAAGAAACATCAGGTCCACAGTTAAAGCTCCAGGAGGTGGAGGAAGTGAAGCTCAGAGAAGAGCAGCCCAGGCACATGTGGATCGACCTTGCCTGGCCCCTAATTCTCAGCGTGCTGCCCACTAAAACCCTCCAACAGTAGAACTAACCACAAAGCGCTAACAGAAGGCCAACACACTCTCTCAGGGCACTCTTAGGTAGCCCCGTGAGCCTGTCGCAATTCTGCATCACTTGGAAGTTACGACAAAATGTAAAATCCAATGCAGACCATCCCAAAGATCTGACATCCTCCCCCGCGACAGCCCCCCCCCACGTCCCGTGGCTTCAACCATCAGGTACAGCAGCCTTTAACTTTAATCAGCTGGAATGAAAGGTCACCAGGAAGTGAAGGGAAAAATATCTGCTCCACATCTGCCTAATGTTACATCGCCCTAAAGCTATCCACGCCCTAATGCTATCTGCATGTTTCCGAGTGTTCTGTGACCTTATGTTTGTGCCTGCTCTATAGCCCTCAGAGTTTATGATATGTGAAGACTGCACCCCAAACCATGTTGGCCCACCCATCCTCAGCAAGCCAATTAGGAGTCAAATTAATAGTGGAAAGCAGAAAAAAGGGCAGAGAGACCCAGCAACACCCCCACCCTGTCCACCACCCACAAATCTGTCCTCTGAATATGGATTAAGGTTTAAAGTGAAGGCTGCTTGCCACCCCCCCCCCCCATTCTGGATGGTGGCCTGACTGTGTCCCTTCTAAGAGATGGATTCCTCTGGCTGAAAGCCTTTTCCTTTTCCCAGCATGAGATTCCTGGGGAAAGCAAGTGTCTAATCTTTAGAGTATCTTCATTTCTACCAGAGCTGCCTCAAAGCCCTTGGGAAGCTTACTGGCAATGTCACTACTCAGGAAACTAACTAGAGTAGGGTCTGGGAGTTTGTAATTAGCATCTTCTGGGCTGCAGCCTCTGTGTCATAGGGCATGTGGCTGCTTTGATGACAAGTATTTTAAAGGTATTTCTTTCCCCAGGAAGGTGCAGTCCCTACCAACCCTGCCCTTCCCACCACCCCTTCGTGGAGCACATGTGAAGTCAACTCACGTTCCACACCGGACCCTGGATTGGGGTGGAGATTCTCACCCCGGTGCCTTCTGGACCTTGTAACCTTTGCCTCTTGGTTTGTCCATTCCCCTCTGTTACTAATAATTATGCATCCATATGCTGACCCACCTGCGTGTGTAAAAGTCAAGGAGACACCTGTTGTTCCCTGTCCACGGGGGCCGCCCTGCTCAGAGCTCTGCTTTGTTGGACAGTGACTTTGAATGAACAGCAGGAAAAAGACTGACGAAGCCCACAGAGAAAAGAAATGGAAACGAGGAGACTGAAATGGGAATCTAAGAGGACAAACCTTGAAAAGTGACATGACCAATACCTTCCTTCGGAAGTTTCCTTGCAAGGAATGGTCTCTGCCAGGAAATCTTGTCATATTTGGCTCACAAGCTGAACATCTTAATTTTGTCTATTAGTCTTAGACTCATTCTTATATCTACATCCTATTCTGCCTCCGAACACCCCACTCTTTAGAAGGATAGTTCACTGGCTTAATAAAATTATGTTATATGACACTGATTATGTTAATAAATCTTGTTAATATTGATTAACCCAGGTTCTAAACGATATATGCTTAGATTTTCTTCTTTCTAGTGTATATTGGTATTACCATTTTTTTTTCTGTTGACTGAAACAACCCCATCACACAACAATCTCTCATCTCATGAGCTATCAAATGTGAGAGTGAATGGTGGCTTTTCTCTTTTGCACATCGGTGAGTACCAGAATTAAATCTCCACAGTAGTTAGATTTTTGCTTTCATGGGAATTCCTAAGGATTCTCAAACTTCGAAAACTAAACCTACAAAAACCCCATCTAGTTTTGCCAGATAGTTTAAATGGATAAACTTTTTTTTTTTGGTGTGTGTGCACAAAGCAACTAAACCAGCTCCAGTGAATTAACAGAGGAAGGAAGGGACCGAGTTGATAAATACAGCACATAGAATGTGTTCCCCATTGTTTCCAGAGGACTCCAACTGAGATGTTCCAAAGCCTGACACTTTAGCAAAAAGCTTGCCCCATAATTGCCCAGTTTCTTCAAAGTCACTAAATTTAAGTCAGTCCGGGAAGACAAAAAAAATCTAATCTTTTAACAGCATCTCAAGGCTATGGCAGGAATAAAACAAAACAATGATATCGGTTTTAAAGCTGCCATCCCCATATTTAAAGAAGTTCTTAATAAACAATGTACTCACCGCTTAAAAAGTCTGGAGCAGGAAGTGTCTTGTGGTTTAGACTTGACTAGGAGTAGAAGCTCCGAGAAGCTCTGAAGAGGGGAGAGGTGGTGATCTGCTTTCAGGGGCAGCCTCTAGTCCAAAGAGCAGAGTCCTGGGTTCTGATTGGCTGTGGTAATCTAGGCAGAAGGAGCCCAAAGCTATCCCTTACCAAATAGAGCCTGCTGCTTTTCTTACAGGGGACTAATCAGAACAGCCTACACCTTTCTGGGGAGGAGGAGGTATGAGTCATTCAGGGGTCGACTGGTATTACCTGTCTGGTAAAGTTACTGGTTTTTATACCTCATTTCCTTTTAATATAATAAAGACACATTGGGTGGCCTAGAATTGCAGACCCGATCAGACTTTTCTTTTGTTTGTTTCTATGTCCTGGAACTCACACTGTAGGGTGGTCTGGAACTCACAGAGATCCAGAGTGTTGGGATTAAAGATGTGTGCCACCATGCCAGGCTTCCGACCAGACATTTCTCTTCTGTCTTCTTCCCTCCTTCCCCCCCTGAAGTGCCAGGGACCGAACCCAGGGCCAGGGCATGCTAGGTGAGAGCCCTACTACCGCTGACCTGACCCCCATGTTTAGTCCTAGGTTGCTTTGTTTTCCATAACAGACTGGGCACTTGCTATGTATTAGGCAGGGTTCTTTCTTCTTTTAAAATTGGTCATTATTATTATTGTTGTTATTATTATTATTATTATTCCCCACTTGCCTCTCTCTGTGGTGTGTGCCGCAGCCACATGTGGAGGTCAGAAGACAGTCTTTGGACGTCTGTTCTCTCCTTCTACCTGCTGAAAAAGCCTCGTCTCTTGTTCCAGCTGTGCTGCACAGCTGTCAGCTTCCGAGCAATTCTCCTGTCTCTCATCTCTTGTAGGAGTGCTGGGCTTACAGCTATGAGCCACACCATATCAGGTTTCCTTCTTTTATTTTCTTTTTGTGGATTTCAGGGATCAAACTGAGATTGTCAGGGATTGCCCAACTCTTTAAAAAAGATGAAATTTATTTTTATGTGTATGTGTGTTTTGCTTGTGCGTGTGTTTGTACACCGTGTGCATGTACGCACATGTGTGCCTGATGCCCACAGAGGCCAAAAGAGGATGTTGAGTCCCCTGGAACTGAAGCTGCAGATGGTTATGAACCACTAGGTGGGTTCTGGGAATCAAACCTAGGTCCTTTGGAGGAACATCCAGTGCTTGTAACTGCTGGGCAATCTCTCTAGCTCGGTTGTCAGGTTTTAGCCGCAAGTGCCTTTAACTGCTGGGCTATCTCACTGGACCGGTAGGCATGATTCTTAATGCTTGGGGGGGGGTGACATATGTGAGAGCCAAAGCTGTTTTAAGTTTTAATTACAGTGCCTAAGAGATCCATGGAATAAAAACCCCTCTAACCTGCAAGTCCCTTACCCAAGGACTCCTGAAATGCTGGAGGCTGCTGTTATTCATGACAGATAATAAGCCACATGTTTTCACTCCCCTCAACAAGTTTTTTGACTCGTCTATATCTCATCTTTACCATTGTGCTTGATTACATGTAGGATGGAGGTACTGGCAGGAAATACATCAAGATGTACGCTTGCGCCGGGCAGTGGTGCACGCCTTTAATCCCAGCACTCGGGAGGCAGAGGCAGGCGGATCTCTGTGAGTTCGAGGCTGGGCTGGACCGACAGCCTCCAAAACAATACAGAGAAACCCTGTCACGAAAAACCAAAGGAAAAAAAAAAGATGTATGCTTGCTTGCTCCTGATTGGATGTAGATGGGAGTTATGAAGGAAGTATGACAATATATATGCCTGCTCCTGATTAGACCCAATGGGAGATATGATGGCCTTGTGGGGTTTCCTTTTTTTTAATTATTTTTTATTTATTATTTGGGATCTCACATCATGCACCCTGATCATGCTCACCTCCCAGTCTTCCCATGTCCACCCTCTCCCCGACTCCCCATGACAATCACCCCACTCCAAATAAACCAAAAAAAAAAAAGGTTCATTTTGTGTGGTCCGTATACTCACTGGAGCATGGTCAAATTCCTATCGAGCAGTCTCCCAAGGGAGAGTGAGTCTTTCTCTGCCTGCATGTGCCAGAAGCCACCAGTTTAGGATGACTTGTGGTGGCTGCAGCAGGGTGGGACTAGTGCCTATCCCCACACAACGTGGTGCTATGGGCTGGTGCCAGGCAGGGCTAGCTCTTCTGTGAGCCACGGGCCAGCTCTCCTTCACCCGTGGACATTAACACGGCCTCAGGAGAACAGTTTTCCCAGCAAGGGAGATTAGTCAACTTGAAGCAACAGCATGAGGAAAATCCTTCTGTTAAGTGAGGAGAGTTTCTCACCCTCCAGCCTCCAGTGCTCACCTACTGAAGGTTTCCAAAGCGAGGTTCAGAAGTTGTGTTGTCGGAGAGTGACTGGCTCCTGAGACTGTGGCTTAATCAACGGATTTATTAATTCATTGATGGAGTCACAATTTGATTGTTAAGAGGTGGTGGGAAGGAGGTAAAGCCTATCTGAAGAAAGCACGTTCCTGGAGGCTTGCCTTGGTTCATCCCTGCCTCACCACAGTCTTTTTGCATCTGCGTTATCAGGTCCTCAGCGTTCCCACAGTACTTTCCCTGTTGAAATGCCCTCCGTCATCACAGGCGGTATAGCAGAGCCAGCCACCATGGACTCAGACTTGTGAAACAATGAGGGAAAGAAATCCTTCCTCCAAGTTACTGCTCTCAGGCAGTGGTCACTGTAAGGGAGGGCGCAGTAAATAAACCACTGAAATGGCTGCTCCATCGATGGAGAGACAGTTTTTATTGTAAGTAAGAGAGAACAGCCAGAGGCATTTGTGTGAGTCCAGAGCACAGACAGAAAGAAGCAGACCAGCCGTGGCCAGGTCTAGAGAAGGAGCACAAGTAGCTGGGGCGGGGGGGGGGAGCTGAAGCAGCCTGGGTGTTTAGGGTAGAGGGGGAGGTGAGAAGGGTCAGGATGCTAGCATGGGCTTTGAAATGCCTAACAGGTACTTGTGACTAAGAATTGCAGGAGCCTGGGCTTTGAGAAGCCACCTCGTGTATACAGGGGAAGTGGTTGGTTCCTTCTGGCAGGCGCCAACCCTGTCCTGTTTCATAAGTTCCTGAGGAATGCTTGGAACTGACAGTCAGCATGATGGGGAAGTTAATTAGTACACACTTGGTTTCGAACCTACTGGGAAAGTAATTTTGAATTGACTGATCTACTTTTAAATTTTTATTATCATTTATTTAATTTATTTATGTGTTGTACATGAGGTATGTGTGAATCTCTCTCTCTCTCTCTCTCTCTCTCTCTCTCTCTCTCTCTCTCTGTGTGTGTGTGTGTGTGCAAGTCATAGAGCTATAGTTGGGGTCAGAGGCAATTTCCTGGAGTCCATTCTCTCTCTACTTCAGCACATGGATTCCAGGGATCCACTCATTTGGAAAAGCAATTTCATAGGAACGACAATTATTTGGACTACAAAGAAAGTGATCCAAGCTGGTTGAGGGTGGATATTTCACATGCACAGGAAGTCCAGAGTTTTGAAGAGTCCAGTCTGACAGTGTCCATGCACACCTTCAACCACACTTTACCTTTGCCTCGGTTTATACTCACTACATGTCCTTCTACTGTGGAATGGAACTCAGCCTTCATGTTTGGCAACAGCTACCTTTCGGAGCCTCCTGCTTAAAATCTAACCAATGACTCCTTATGGTCAAACCAAGAGCTCTGGAAACAGTGAGTATATTTCAGCAAACCTGTGGTGCCGCCTCCAAGTTGGACGCTGCCCTTTGCACTGGGCTCATACTCAACGAGGGTTTCTGCCAGGACCCCTTTGACTGTGATGCCTGTAATTATGGAGCCCCCATCAATAGCATTTCTGACAGCCTTGAAGCCATCTCCTGTGCATTTCTGATGTGAGTGAATGTGTGCTTATTGAGATCTTTGACCAGTGAGATGGATAGGTAGATGGATGGATGGATAGATAGATAGATAAATAGAGATAGATAGGTAGATGATGGATGGATAGACAGACAGATACAGATAGATGATACATAGATACATAGATACTGATAGACAGATGGATAGAGAGAAGGAAGGGGATAGTTATAACCACATTCCTCAATAAAGGGGAGCATCTGTCAGTATATACTCAAAGAAAAATTTTCATGGTCCAAACAGCCAGGACTTACATCTTCAAAAGATTTAGTGCTTGTGTGTGTATGTGTGTGTGGGGCTGCATGGGTAAATGGCTACTGTACAAGCATGAGGACCCAAGTTCAGATCTTCAGCATTCACTTAGAGTTGGGTGTGGGGACACCTGTGTCAGTGTTGAGAGGAGACGGGTTTCCCAGGGACTCACAGGCAACCAGTCTAACTAACCAGTGAGCTCCAGATTAAGTAGGATACCCTGTCTCAGAAGATGAGGTGGAGAGTGACTGAGTAAGACGTCTGATGTGAACATCTGGCCTCCACATCTTATATGGACACACACATACATACACCATACACATATAAATACCTTTTGAAAATGGCTTATTTAGTTCTATAATTCTTCTGGTATTCTATCATTAAAGATCAAATTTTAAAGCACTACAATGATAAACAAAATCTCATTGGCATGTTTATCTTAAACACCCCACAGTTAATGGATACAACACTTCTGAGAGAGAGACTGAAAAATCACATCACTAGCAAGTATTAAAGAGTATTTTCTTTAGAAATTATGGATTTATTTTAAACATAATCACTAGTTACTTTATAACACTGGGGAACTACCACTTGGTAGGGAGTGACTTTACAATCTATCCTTGGAAACACCCTGGCAAACTTCTAGCAGTAACAAGATTTATATCTGATGTGGTTTATGGCACTTGAAAACTACTTTTTTAACTATTTAAAACTGTACTAAGGTTAGCTAGTCAATAAAACTACACCCCAATATTATCTGTCCATTATTAAACATGCAAGGCAATTCCTCCCTGTTTTCTACTTTTGGTATTTTAAAGCTAAGTGTGAAAAAGGATCCTATTATCCAAGACTAACACATAAGAGCAAGCAATTCAAAGCAAGGTTTTAAACTATTTTACATAAAATTCCATTACTCCAAAAGGAACCCACATCAGCCACCATAAAAAAGATAACTCAGACTGAAAATCTCTTCCCAGCACTCAGGAGGCAGAGGCAGGTGACCTATGGAAGTTCCAGGCCAGCTGGTCTATATAGTGAGTTTCATGCCAGCAAAGGCTACATAGTAAGATTCTGTGTCAAAAATATAAAGAAAAAGGAAGAAAGGCAGGCAGGCATAGCATCTAAATTAAACAAGACAGCTTTTAAAAATAAACCTTACATGCTTGACCCAGTATTTCCACTACTGTTCAACATCCTAAATAAACTCCAACCTTAAAGTAAACTTCCACTTACCTAGAACTTAAAGACTGATGTCTCCTTAACCTAGAGGTAAGGTTTGGGTTAACTGAGAACACTGCCTATTTACAATCTTGGCTTCTTTAGTTCTGTACAGATCTAATGTGCCTTTTTCCAGTTTTAGAAGGTCTAAGGAAAAGTGGTCGATCCCTTTGATAGACTTTTTTCTGCTGATTTGAGACAGGTTTCGTTATGTAGTCCTGGAACTTGCTCTGTAGACCAGGCTGGCTTCTACTTCACAGAGATCTACCTGCCTCTGTCTCCTAAGTGTTGGCATTAAAGGAACGTGCCACCATACCTGACTGACTGTCTTTTTTAATTGCATTTTAAACTGTTTTCAGTGAATTTCTTTCAGTTTTTACTAGATTTTTTTTCTCTATTCCGTACTCTTGTAAAAATATAAAAAGTCACTGAGTGGTGGCGGCATATGCCTTTAGTCCCAGCACTTGGGAGGCAGAGGCAGGCAGATGTCAGTGAGTTCCAGGCCAGCCTGGTCTACAAAGTGAGTTCCAGGACAGCCAGGACTGTTACACAGAGAAACCCTGTCTTGAAAACGTGTGTGTGTGTGTGTGTGTGTGTGTGTGTGTGTGTGTGTTTCTCATGTTCTAATAGCCTGCTACATGCAGGATATGCGTTTCATGCTCTTTTCCTCTTACTGGGGTGCTATACCCCACAATCCCAGACAAGCTGATTAAGCTCAAGTTGGACTCAGAATTATATTTTATCTCCATAATCTCTGTCATGAAGTAGTCACTAGTTCAATTTGTTTTTCCTTATGGAGTCTACTACAGCCTTTGCTAGGAAACCTGCAAGTTCGACATGAACCTTGGTTACCAGAGAGGCTCTGTCTGTCCCTGTTTCCATCTGTCCCTGTCCATTTTTCCATGTACTTACATTTGTTCCCAAACTCGAAGGGACTTTCTCTCTCAGCTTCAAATCCTTCAGTGATTAACTTGGATGAAAACAGAGCTAAGTGGAGACAACAGTTTGCCCATGGTAAGGACATTGGCAGTCATGCCATTACCAGCTAGCTCACACTGGCAACTACTGTGTTAGCTGTTACAGGGACGCTCCCCCACCTCATCACCTTGATTTAGTCTTGGTTCTGAATGAGTAATGCCAGCACCGGGAGGTTGAGTCAGGAACATCACAAGTTTGAGGCCAGCACAGGCTGGATTGTAAGAAAAAGGAAAGAAATGAAGGAAGGAAGGGAAGGAGGGGGGAAGGAAGGGAGAGGAAGAGAAGGAAAGGAAAGAAGGAAGGAAGAAAGAATAGACAAAAAAGAGGTCGTCAGGTTTTCATTTCACAATGTGAACCCCAAGTTGATTCTTTTTTTTGTTTGTTTGTTTGTTTGTTTTTTGTTTTTGAGACAGGATCTCTCTGCATAACCCTCACTGTCCTGGAACTCACTGTGAAGATCGGCTTGGCCTCAAACTCATAGAGATCCATTGGCCTCTGCCTCTCAGTGCTGGGATTAAAGGTACGTACTGCCATGCTCCGCCTAGACTGGTTCTTAGCATGTCCCGTGTCACACTGATGCTGACTGTCCCTGGTCTGTTTTCAATGCTAAATGTGTAAAGCAATGTCATTAGTGACTACACAACACATGCAGGCACACACACACATGAAAACACCAAAGTAGACACCCAGATACCCAATTTTGACAAAATTTCACATGTTGTAGACTGGCTGATTTGTGGCAGCATTCTAAGTTGTTACTGTCTTTTAAGAAGGCAACATTGGCTATAGAGAACATAGAAGAATAAAAGAGATGTTTATTTCTCACCCTGTGATTTCATGGTGAGTAACATGCTTATGCCTGTATGTACCTTCTATGCCTCTCTTTGGCCCTGACACCGAATGACTGAATCCCTGAAGGCAGGGCTGACTGTGCCAAGCTCTACCTCGTACATGGCTCTTGCTACCTAGAGTGGGGCACCAAAGCACGTGACTCTCCTATCTACCCTCTTGAGGGATACCAGGAGCAACTGGAGACCAGCACAAGATCACGCGTAGCAGACTGCTGGAAAGTGTGGTCAGAGTGCAACGCAATGGGAGATAACCATTTTTGGTAAGGTTACCTAGGGTTGGGGAAGTAGATTGACTTTTCCCCCTGAGGTTACCCTTGGGAGGTCGGCTTTGACTGGAGATGATGCAGAGCTGGGAATATGAGCAGCTGAGAAGGGATAAGGGTCAACAGAAGCCAAGGTGGCCCCAGGGATGACCCACGAAACCCTGACTTATGGGGGTCATGAGATAACTGAAACCTTCCTCCTTTGCTTGTCTTTCAGTATGCAAATATCCAAATCAACTCATCAAGGTTACTGTGTTCCTGTTTCAACCTTTGGTTTGCTTCCTCTCTCGTGGGTACCTTCTCACCTTCTGCCTGACAGTAAATAACCCCACAGTCTGCTCACCGCTTCAGAAAAAGCCTAGGTCATCCCTTCCATTGCAAGGGTTGTTGCTTTTATCCGGCAAGTGTCTGCCTAGCCCACCGGCTCTCCTCCACCAGCACTGCTGAACTGTTACTCTGGGGAATGACACCAACACCTTATTTGCCTTCATGTTCCTTAAGTCACAGCAGCCAGAACCTCCTTTTTTAAAAGGCCAGAGGACAGCTTGTGGAATCAGTTCTCTCCTTGCACGTGTGAGTGTTGGGACTAAACTCAGCCTCGGCAGCAACGGCCTTTACCAGCCGAGACGCCGCATCTCCCCAGGTCTTTCACATACATGTCAGCCTCTTTCTTGAAATTGATCATTTCCTTAAGGACGCCAGATTTCTGTCAGTGTGAAGCATCATTTAGAGGCCCCTGTCTGGTACCAGGGGCACTCATTGCTATGGGGCTTTTGAGGGGAAGGAATAAATAAACAAATAAATGTGTATTTTAACAATAAAATTCAGCTGGTGTGTTGATGCACAAGTGCTAGGCCAGCATTTAGGAAGCTGAGGCAAAAGAAAGGCCAGCGTAAGATGTGTAGTAAAGATGGTGTTTAAAAACATGTAAGATGGTCAGGCGGTGGTAGCGCATGCTTTAATCTCAGCACTGGGGAGGCATAGGCAGGTGGATCTCTCTGAGTTCAAGGCCAGACTGGTCTAAACAGTGAGTTCCAGGACAGCCAGAGCTGCTGTTACACAGAGAAATCCCATCTTAAAACACCACACACACACACACGAGAGATGACTCAGCAGTTACGAGCACTGGCTGCCCTTCTAGAGGACCAGGGTTCAATTCTCAACACTCACAAGGCAGCTCACAACTATCTGTAATCTAATGCCAAGTGATTTGACACCCTGGCACAGATATGCATGCAGGCAAAACAACATTCGCATAAAGTAAAAATAAGTAAATCACATATACGTGTGTGTGTGTGTGTGTGTGTGTGTGTGTGAAGGTGACACCTAGCTCAACTGTTTGAAACTCATGTGAAAACAGAGCACCTACACTACACCCGAGATGCCAGCTTAAAACAACAGTCAGAGGGCTTGCACCCCCCAGCACTCCGAAGGAGGAAGTAGAAAGACCAAGACTTCAAGGTCATCCTCAGCTACAGGGAGCCCAGAGCCAACCTGAGCTACATGAGACTTTGTCTGAATAAACAGTGAAATAATAAACAAACAAACAAACAAACAAATGAGAATAGTTTGTTCAGGCTTAGTATCAGCCCGTGAGTGGTTGGCCTGGATGCTCTCGAGTCCACGGTGCAGCACGCCATCATAGCTCACCTCAGGGCTCTGAGAAATCGAGAAGACACTGTCTTCCCTCCATTTCCTTCCAGGGAACACTCTCTACTTAAGACTTCCCACCAGCTCCCAATGGTATTGAGCTAGGGACCAAGACGACATCAGGTGGGCCTTTGGGAGGTGCTTACAAGCAAAGTACCTCAGGCAGGTATTTGGAAATTCAAGTTCTTGGTAACAGTTTTATTAGCTTTTCCTCTTATTCATCAAAAATTTGAATCTCAGGAAACTGGTTGCTTTCCATCTGTGTGGTCTTCCAGCTCTCTCCAGATCTCTCAACGACCGTTGATGGTTTATAATTAAATTCCATTTGGCATTTATCCTTTTGTTTTTTGTTTTTGCTTTTGTTTTTGTTTTTGTTTTTTTTTTTGAGACAAAGTTTCTCTGTGTAGCTTCAGCTGTTCTAGAACTCACTCTGCAGACCAGGCTGGCCCGGACCTCAGATCCACCTGCCTCTGCCTCCCTCATGCTGGGATTCAAGGTGTGCACCATCATCAACCGGCTTGGAATTTATTTATTTATTTATTTTTTGTGCAGTAAGAAGAAGAGAGACAATCTTATGTTTATCTCAAGGCATTCAATTTACATCAACACCACATATCAAAAAGTTTATTTCTTTCCTGGTTGATACATGGTTCATCCCTTCTTACCTATTTCTATACTTCTGTTTTTTAATCATCTCTATGACCACATGCGAAGTTAACTTCGGAGGAAACTTGTTGAAGGACACCCAGAAACTTTATTCCCATCTTTGTAGCTTTTCTGTTTTATCTACAGCTGTTCCAAATTTTAAGAAATATTTAAGGGATCGAGGGATGTAGAAAGATGACTCAGCAGTTAAGAGCACTTGTTCTTGCAAAGACACCAGTTCAATTCTCAGCATCCACATGGTGGCTCTCAGCTGTCCCTAAACACCACTTCCAGGGGGGTTGACAGTCTCTTTTGGCTTCTGAAGGCACCAGGCATGCACATGGACATAGATATACACAAAGAGCAAAATATTCTCACACATAACAAAATTCAAAATATAAAAAAAATATGACTATTCAAGAAGTCTTCATAGAGGACACCCCAGCCCTACCAGGTTCTTGCTCCAGGTTAAAGAAAAAAATACCATAGAGAGGGCCTTTTCCTTTCAACCACCATGACTTTCGTAAATCAGTTGCATTGGCTTGATTCAGGTCACATGCTCAAGCCAGTCTCGGGCTTCAGAGTGGGGGACCGCTGGCTGAACCTTGGTCATAGTAATGTTGATGGCACTGCAAGGCCTCTCTCTCCTCAAGAAATGAGTAGCTGGCCATCTGTGATGGCTGTGGTTAACAGCTAATTTTTGTTGTTTTAATAATTATTTATTTTTGTCAGGCAGTGGTGGTGTGCACCTTTAATCCCAGCACTTGGGAGGCAGAGGCAGGCAGATCTCTGTGAGTTTGAGGCCAGCCTGGTCTACAAAGCGAGTTCCAGGACAGGCTCCAAAGCTACACAGAGAAACCCTGTCTCAAAAAACCAAACCAAAAAATATTTATTTTTATTTTATGTGTATGGGTGTTTTGCCTGCAGTATGACTGCGTACCCCTTGGGAGCCTACTCCCAAAGAAGAACAGAATAGGACATTGGGTCCCCTGGAGCTAGAGGTGTAGACAGTTTGACGTTGTAGACAGCACCCATGCTGCCATGTGAGTGCTGGGAATCTCAAGCAGGACTTTTAACCACTGAGTCATCTCTGCAACCCGCAGCTGGGTTTTAGTTGCTGGTGTTCTCATGGCTCCCTGCCAACCCTTTCGTCGTCTTTTCTTCTTATAGGTGGCACTCACCAATGAATGTTCACAAGCCCTACTTTATCCCACTGTCTTTCCCTGAGAACAATCGTGGGACCACAGCCTTCTCCAACACCACAGCTCATTAACCCACCAGAAACATGCAGAATGGTAGACGGACTTCCCAAGGAAAGAAATGATTTGTGTTCAATGATTATTTATGGACAGTTGTGAAGATAAGCAGTTTTAAACATTTGCCTATTAACAGTTGCTATCATGAGAACTCAATCCAGACTAGAGTTTTGGCGTTTTTATGATCCAGGAAATAAACTCAGGTAATACATGTTCTTTGAAGTTTTTGGCTTTTCCCCCTCCAGACAACTCTACTGGGTTTTCAACAAAAGAATCTCAGAAATTAACATTGGTCAGTAACATAAACTAGACTACAAGCATTGGTTGGCTCTCAAGAGTTGGCCTTTTCTGTATTTGAGTGGCTGACCTTGGATGCACCCTGCATTTTATTGCTTTCTCTGACCTCTCTCTCCCTCCACCCACTGAGGGATGTGTGATTTTTCCCTTCTGTCTTGTGGCTGACATGTTTGAAAAGTGTTGACCTGTTACTCTGCAGAACATCCTTCAGTTTGGTTTCCTTTAACTTCTTCTCAGAGATCCTATCAGAGCGGCGATGATGTCAGTAGGTCTTATCACAGCTAATGTTGACCTTGACCCCTTGCTAAAGTGGCCTGTGCTGTCTCCACTGAATGATTGCCCCCTATAACCATTAAGGATCTGACAGGGGACACTTCCAGACTAGGAAAGTATCCTGACTCACCACCTCTCACCCACCAGATTAGTATCCATTGGTAGATCTTACCTCCAGTGGTGATTTTCTACTTCCTCCATCTTGATGCATTCATTAATTAGAATTCTCTTGTCCCCCATCAACTTATTAAATTATATATATATATACATATATGTTAGTATAGACATAGATATTTATTTTACTTTATAAATTGTAATCATTTATTTTCTTGTCCCAATTTGTTCAGCTTTAGTCTTAGAGAGGCCAGGTTTTTCAAGCTGGCTCCTCACACCCACCCACATCATTTGCAAACTTTTTTTTTTTCTGGCATCACAAGATATCCCAAGTTTACTCTGTGTTTTCCTGTTCTCACTCCAGAATGAGCTCTTCTCTGGGATACCAGTATGGCTTTTCAAAAGAAGTATATTTAGAAACAAAGATAAGGTTTCTAGGGGCCGTTCATTGCTGTTGGGTTAGCATTGCTTTTAGGCCCCTTTAATATAGCTAGGATACATGGTCCCGCAGATATGAACACATATGTATATTTATAAGATATTTTCATGGGTAAACATTTATCTACCAATCTGCTCAGGTCATGGCTTTGTATCAGCACCTCCCAAGTCAACCCAAACCATGGGACCGAATAGAAAGGAGACAGCCATCTGAACATAAGCATCCATTCCTCTGGGTCCTGTAGACCCAGTGTGGCCAGTCATCATCACCTGCAATGGTGACTGTATCCTTCAGAGATGGAAGCCAAATTTGTGGGATGTTTTGTTGTAGCAAAAAGACAAGTCTTTAGTACAGATAATTTTTTAAAATTGCTTATCAGGTTTGATTATTTTGGCATTGTCTTTAAAAAGTCTAGTTTTGCTAGAGGATTTAAGATTGGCATATACTGCCGGGCGGTGGTGGCATACGCCTTTAATCCCAGCACTCGGGAGGCAGAGGTAGGCGGATCTCTGTGAGTTCGAGGCCGGGCTGGACCAACAGCCTCCAAAACAATACAGAGAAACCCTGTCTCGTAAAAACCAAAAAAAAAAAAAAAGATTGGCATATACTATATTATGCCTTTATAGTATACATTCCATTTCTATATATGCCAAGCACACACTGGAAGAGTAGAAAAGAAAAAAAAGTCTTGATGACGATTTCTTATTCTTTCTTCCTTCCTTCCTTCCTTCCTTCCTTCCTTCCTCCCTCCTCCCTCCCTCCTCTCTCTCTCTTCCTTTTTTTTTCAAGACAGTGTCTCTCTGTGTAGCCCTGGCTGTCTTGAAACTTGCTCTGTAGACCAGGATGGCCTTGAACTCAGAGATCCCTAAATGCTGGGAATACTGGCATGTACCACCACCACCCAGCCCTGATGACAATTTTTATTATCAGCTTTTTGATTTTGAACCCAAAGTTAAAGACTAACAGTTAACTTTTATTTTTCATTTTCTACTCTTTATGTCTTTCTTTTGCCCCATCATTATTCTTCCCACTAATTACTCATTTGGACTCTTAAATCTAAAATCAGATTGAAATTGGATATATCATCTGAGTGTGTGTGTGTGTGTGTGTGTGTGTGTGTGTGTGTGTGCGCGCGCGCGCGCATGTACT